AAAAAAAAAAAACAGACGTATCAATAAAGTTAGTATTTTTCTATAATCGTTATTTCAAATAGAACTTACCCTAGGTATTATAACCAGTGGTAATAGGCCTAACAGCGTTTCCTGTACAGAAAGCGGCAGCAGGTTGGTTGAATTGAGGAAATGTTGTTCCAAGTAGTAAAGTTGCGATCCCAGATAAGCCAATAGCAACAGCACTCAGAGTGTCCCTAGCATGAGTGTTTTGACCTGCTTTTACTGACGGATAGGATGGGTTCACGCAAACAAAAGCGCCATTCACATTTTTTAAATTGATACGGTCATTTTTGTCTGTTGTACTGCACTTTGGGTGTAGTAGCTTCTTAAAACAAAAAATGCAAGTTTGCGACGTGTTGTATTCGCTTGTTATGCAAGCCATAGTGTAGAGGCTATGCTTGATAGGCTTCCAGTATCCTCCGTATCTTTGATAACCTTTTATGGACGATCCAAAACAGAGTCCGCTATCTCCAATAAACATTGTTAATGGTTTCTTACTGCTTGAGGTCACATAAGATCGCTCTTGAGAACACAGCCTGTTGATATACTTTCGCTTTTGCAGTTCATACGCTCGTAATTGACGTACTTTTTGTTGGGAGTAATAGTAATCTCGAAGTACGTCTTGGTGCGTGATTCTTCCATCATACCACTTGTTTAATTCCTCTATGCTGTGTATTTCTTGGAAGCTGTATACACTGAGTTTCGCTTCGATTTCTGAGATAACTTTAGCTTTTGTTTTCTTGGTACGTTAAAGCTTTGCTCTTAATTTAATTGCACCACTACCATACGCAATGTTGGACGTGTGTACTTTGCAAGGCTCTGCAAACTTGAAGAACGTTGCTTCTTCTGCGGAAGCTTGAAACCTGGTATTTCAGCCGCTGTAGGATTCGTATCTGCTGCGATGTCTATGATAACTTCGTCATCGCTATCAGTTGTAGTTGGGTTTAAGTTGGTGCGACTTATTTCGGTTCTCTAGTAAATAGTAACTAAATAAGTAAAAATAGCATTCAAACAATCAAACAATGAACTTGCCTCTTTTCTTAAAGCTTCTTCATATTTGGAAATACGCATTTGACATTTTGTTGCTATGTATTTCCATTTAAGAAAAATAGAGGAATTAACCAAGAAGAAATCTGAAAAAGCAAAAAATATTGACAAAGCACCCACAAAAGTCAAGCTTTCCAACAAGTTTTACAACACAAGAAAATGATTATTCAAAAATGAGAAGAAAAAGCGTGAAACGTACATTCGCAAGTCAAGAAGCGACAAAATAAACAAACTTCTTTCACGCTTAGGAGCCAAATGGACTCTAAGGAGAACAATGAGTACACGATTCAATATCTTTCTAGAGCGCATTTTCTGAAACCACATATTCTTGAAATTAGAAATGTATCTGTTGAGCGCCAACTTCATGACAACTGGATCAGTTGATTCACTTTTTCTTCCGTCTTCATTAAGAGCCTGTCTTAATGCTGTTTGGAAAGAATGCTTTTTGAGTGTTTCTTCGGTAACATCTTGAATTCCAAAATAGTTCGCATGGATCATTTGCGGATGATTTGGGTTGAAAAGGCTGTTAAATTCTTTTTTTAGGGCATCATCCGTAAGACAGCTTCTACCTATAGGAGGAGAGAAATAGATGATGTCGCTCTGGCAGCAAAAGCTCCCTGGTACGATATCTTGAATGCTAACATCGGTTTTCTATGGAAGTATAATTTCATCATTATCTAATTTGAAGAAAATTGACTTCTTCAAAAGTAATACTAGCTTAAATACTTGAACACTATACGAAGCTATGTAATCACTAGCAGAAACAACTGTTTCTTATATGGTTTTTAAAAAGGTATCTTGGATATCAGCGGGTAAATCTGATCTTAAAAGTGGGAGCAAGGAGGCACTAAAAGTTCTTAATTGCTGTTCCTCTTGTTCCTGTGCGCTGGTATCTTCCGCTTCCTTCGCTGTCTCTTCTCTATTTTCGATTTCTTTGCGAATTCTTTGAGCAATGTTAAAGATCCCGGCTTTAACAAAGTCCTTCCAATACTGCACTGGCGTTTTTCCATGGTTTCTTTTAGTTCGCAGTAATGGTACTATTTCTCCTACCTTCACATTAATTCTAGCTTCAGTACCAGTAACTATCCCACGAGGTAATCTTGGTCATAATAGCATTAATTTATGGAGTTTGCCAAGATTCCCGCCTGTCTGATAGCAGTGTCGAATTTCTGAAAAAAGTGAATTTCGAGTCGTTTCATGAAAGTGTTCATAAGACATTCTTCTCTTTCCGGTGTTCTACGGGCACGTTTAGGTGATGAACCATTTAACTCTTCACTTGCACTCCACTTCCAGCTAGCTGGTCTATTGATCATAGTCTTTCCGGGGCCATATATCGCTCTTTGCTTTTTCTTTTCACACATTAGTAAATATTAGGAATAGTAAAGAGGAAAAGAAAAAGAAAAATGACTATTCATTGTTTTATGATTTTGATATATCAATTACAACAAAGAAACTATTCTCCAATGAACAATGAATAAACTATCCCAACTAGTGAGCAGGCTCACAGATTCAATAACACACCCATGACTATTTAGAATCTGAATAGTCCCTTTATTTCATTATTCCTCACCCACTTGAAAGTGATTCTGGAACGTGACTCTTCAGTGAAAAAATAAAATAAAATAAACAACTTTACAAGGCTTCTTCTCCTATTCCAAACAATCTGGTACCATTAAAGGTCACCAGCCTTCCATAGAGTTCTTATTTCTTGTTTTTATTCATTTGAGTGAGGGATACTATAGGAGGTAATGGGTGGTAGAGCGACTTTTAAACACACTCTCCAGACCTATTTCTCTACAAAAAGTTTACTGTATTTTTATTAATTATTGACGTTAATTTTATAAAATATTGTCGTAAAATAAAAAAATTATTTTCGTAAAAAGACGACAAAGAAAAATACGTTTGAATAAAACGACATCATGTCAAAAGAGAGAGATAATGAGTATATGTAGAAAAAAAGAGAAAAAGTATGTTAGTATTAGAGCACATATTCTAATATTAGTTTCACTTACCACCAAGGTGCATTCTGGGGAGGGTAGCGATAACTACCCAGGAGAAGTTTAAACAAAAAAAAAAGGAACGGAGGACAGAGAGAACCCAGGGCGTCAGAAGAGACTATTGGAGAACGTTACAGATACACGCCAGAGAGCAGAGAGAGCGGGACAAGCGAGTCAGAGCAAGGACCATGAGGACAGGCTAGTTTTGATTGGTGAATCTTTGAACACTCAGAGGGACATTTGATAACTGCTGCAATGAAGCAACAAAAGGACTCAATTAATGTGAGTGTTTATACTTTCAAATAGGAGCAATCTACTTCATGATCATTCAAGAATATATATTACCAAATATAACTACATGTTCTGATTTCATGGAAGAACCGAATAAAGAATTTAAACTTTTACAAAGAGACTAAGAGGGTTATTCTAATATTAAGTTAATTTCAACTCCAAGATAGCCCACCTGTTAATATTACTGTCAAATGGAATAGTGAGCCATATTCTTTTTGTATTTGCTATTACTCTGATAACATTACAACGGTTTCAATACGACATCTCAATTTGGAAATACAGTATCTCCATGGATGTCAAGTCTGATACTACGAAAATATTCTTGGCGACGATGAATTTACATTTCGTACAGCATGAATTTTGTTCTCACCACTGGGTGCATTTATTTCGACCACAGGCGAATTTACTTTCCGGAAAGAGTGTATAACGGTAGTCAAGATTGGGCGCAGTGGTGAAGTTGATTTGGTTCGCGGGGCGTAAACAATGTCCGACTTACCTTCATCCGACCATTCGGTTCGAGTTACGGTATACACATAAGCAATTTGCGTGTTAAACACATATCATATCTTTATACGAGTAATAAGATACATTACCAACTAGAGAATGAACAACCAGATCTATAATCTTTGGGTGGCTTAACACCAATTTACTCATAAGATCTTCCCTAGACTTCCATTTCAAGGCAGAATAAGATTTTCATCTTAGACTAACGCTGAATGAGCTTTTCAATTAAATAAATTAGTTTTTTGATTGCATACACAACTAATTTACTTACAGTTTTGATTGAGCATTTTGCTGTGAGAAAAAAGAGGAAGACGTGACAAAAGAATTCTATAAAATTCCGTCACCGTCACCGATGCCTTTCATTACCGTTGTTGTATTTGGGTTTTGGATAAATTTAAACAAAGTAGAAAATACGATGAGACTATATTGTGTCTTTATTCAGAATAAAATGAAAAGGAAGAGATGATAGCACAATTTATAATTGTATATTAAGAAGCTGAGGTATTTAAACTGAGTTGACTATATTTGATTAAGGTGTAGCAGACCTTATAGCAACATTAGGTTCAACTGAATAATAGACATTTTCCTGTCCATCTTCGTAAAAGAAAGTAGTTGTCACTACTCGTTTTTTAAAAAAGAGAAGAAATTAATCGATATTAAAGTCTTAAGAAGTTTATATATTTTTTCTGGTCAACTTGATTTAACTTATTGTGACAAAGTTTCCTGTCATAAATGGACAATTGTTTTTGGCAAAATGAATTTTATTTTTTAGTAACGAGCATTTAATTTTCGCAAAGTGACAATATTTACCGTTCTCACTGTATTAAGAAAATAAGCCAGATCTCCTCTTATTGGATAAAACCGCCTTCTAAATGTTATGAGTTACAGATGAGTCTTTGTGGGTTATTACTACGGTAATTTTTAAGGTATTTTAGGCTGGCAGACAAAAATACTTTTTCAAAAAGGAGTCAGAGTTGAGTCTGAAGATTCAGATACTGATAATCAAGGGTAGTTACCTTTATAAAAGTGATGGAAAAGGGTACTAAAGTGACACACAGGCCCTAATACCAATCGTGCGTTCCATTTACTAATAATATATTTGACACAAAAATGTTCTAAGAGGAAACATGTAATAAGGAAACACCAGCACGCCTTATGTGTCTGTTTTTTACGATTTGTACGATGTTTTTATTGTATAATAAAAAGGATCATATCCTATATCTGCCATTTTTTTAATGACCATGGCCATCATCAGGGTTTTGTTTCTGTTCTGGAGCAACCTTGATGAAATCGTCTATTCTTAATATGGCAATAGCAGCTTCGGTTGCACTCTTCAGAGACTTAATCTTTGACATTGTAGGTTCCAAAACACCGGCTTTAAGGTTATCACGGATACCACCATGAATGAGTTCGAGACCATAATATTTCAGAGCGCGTTTACGATCATCTGCATTAGCATTAAGTGATGCATTATGATAGGCACGAAGTTTTGATACTAATTCAGTTGAATCTTTGGCAGCATTCACTGCAAGAGTCTTTGGAATAACAAGTAATGCATTGGCAAATTCAGCAATGGCCAGTTGCTCACGAGATCCCAAGCTGATAGCAAAGTTTTCGAGGTATACGCTTAAGGCTGATTCAACGGCACCACCACCAGGCACAACGCTATTGCTCTCTAGAGTTCTTTTAACAACGCAAAGGGCATCATGGAGCGATCTTTCCATTTCGTCGAGCATATAGTCGTTAGCACCACGTAAGATGATGGATGCAGAATTTTGAATTTTTGTGCCCTTTACTAAAATACATTCATCATCAGAGATACGTTCTTGTACAACTTCTTCGGCATGACCGAGATAACCGGCTTCGAATGTTTCTTCGCCTTCCAAGTTAGCCAAAGAAGAGATCAAAGTAGCACCTGTGGCTTTGGCGATACGCTTCAAGTCTTCCTTCTTACAACGGCGAACTGCCATAGCACCAGATTCAACAAACAACTTGAGACATAAATCGTCAATTCCCTTTGTTGTCAAAATGACATTGGCACCGGTGTCCAAGATCTTTTGAATACGTTCAGTTGTAATTTCGATTTCTCTCTTACGAATATCCTCCAACTTGTCAGGATCATCTACCACAATATTCACACCGAGATGCATACGAGCCTTTTGCAAGTTCATGTCCAAACAAGCAATCTTGGCATTCTTGATACATTTCTTCATGGCTTGTGAAGCAACGGTACAGTTGAGGGCATATCCACGAACAAATTGTGATTCAAGACCGGATTTACCATGAGCTTTCAAGATATTTACAGCCTTGACAGGGTATTTAGTCTCACCTCGAGGGCTCATGGACTTAACAGCCAACATGGCTTCAACAGCAAGATTAGCAAAGAATTCGTCATCACTATAAAATGTGGTTAGAGAACATAGAATAAAACAAGGCAAAGACATCTTACGATCCGATAATCTTGGAACTCATGGAAGTCTTTGCTGCATTCACAAGACATTCTTTTCCAAGTGCATCCACTTTGGTAGACATTTCGTTGGCAATAAAGCGACAAGCTTCTTTTGATGCCAATCGATAGCCGGTAATGATGGTGGTAGGATGAATCTTGTTTTTGACGAGTTCATTAGCACGCTTCAAAAGTTCAGCAGCGATGATGACAACAGAAGTCGTGCCGTCGCCTACTTCACGGTCTTGTTGTTGAGCAAGCTCGACTAATACTTTTCCTGCGGGGTGTTCGACTTCAAGTAATTGAAGGATAGTTGCTCCATCGTTGGTAATGGTAACATCCTACATTCAACATTAAACATTACTGTTCTTTAAATGATTCTACAGCACTTACACCAATTTCATCAACCAACATCTTGTCTAAACCAACAGGGCCTAAAGAACTCTTGACAATATTTGCAATAGATGAAGCAGCAAGCACTGAAATAATATAAAGTATTAGATCTAGCAAGGAAAGGCGCGTCATCATTCTTACCATTGCTAGAACGAACATCTTGGCCAGTTGTACGTTCACCGCCCAAGAAAAGCGAGTTATTTTGGTCTCTTTGAAACATTGACTTCAAAAGAAAAGGAAAGAGGGGGGCGACCGAAACTTTCTTTCTGGAAAAAAATATAACTCCTCTCTCTCTCTTTCTCTTTCTCTCTCCTGTCTCTCTTTTTTTTCGGGCTTACTTTGAATTTTTTTGGCCTGTGACCCCAATTTAGGAAAGCAATAATGGTTTAAGGCTGTGGCTTATTGATTTATTTAGGATGAATGCAGCAGCAAAAAGTTTATAAACTAAAGACCGCATAAAGTATTAGTAAAAGTACCTAAACGAGTCCTATGTTGCTTATTAGTTAGATTATCTCTCTCTCTTTTTTTTTGAATGTTATTTACTTTATCATTCGGTTCAGAATCTAGACGACGGTTTATACGATAGAGTAGTAACCCTGTCAGACCAGACAGACATCCGGACACGATGGCGGTTACAAGATTAAAAAGTACTGCAGGTGCTATAGACATTCTTATGAATAAAAATGTTTGTGTGTAAATAGGCATAAGGCTTACCATATCGAGGAGCATCGGATGACTTGAATAAAAAGGATGCAACGATATTACCAATGTTACCAATCATGATCACTGCAGCTACTCCCACTGCCCTAACCGTTAAATCAGGATAATTTAGGGCTGACCATCCAAGTGAGGCAGAAGCTAATGCATATGACGTAAGTTTAGAACAAGAGTCTGGACATGCATTGCATACCTTGTAAACCAATCCCAATAGGAACAACCAGTAAGGTAGAGTAAAGGGCTAGACAACGTAATCAATTTCCATTTTTTTTAGTGGGTTGAGCTAATTCATACCCCATTTGTCATAAAGCAAGTAGAGACAGAGATAGGCAGCGGCTACAATGATAGATCCCACGGCCAATATGGGTGATCGACAGTTGTATTTACCTCCCAGGTATCCGCCTAGTAAAACACCAATAGTTGCTGTCACACAAGGTGGTGCTGTTAAGAGCTGCGTGGTGGACATATCAAATCCGAAGCCTAAGGAGGTTGTAGATTAAATAAAAAGTAAAATAGAAAACAAACACGGATGGTTTACCACTAATGAGAGCAGGCGCAAATACTCCTAAGCTTGTGAGGTTAATTGAATTTAGAAAGAAGATGATGCCAAAAGCCCATGTTTTCCAATCAGACAATGCAACTGATAACGTCTTTAGAGTTGTATTAGAGTTGGAATGAATAGTTTCATCGACATGTTGCATTATTCTCTTTTCTTGCAACAGTTTTTGTTCATTAGTTAGCCAGCCAACTTCATTTAAATCATCAAACAAAAAAAAGTAAGAGATGATGGAAAGTAATACTGTAGGAGCTCCCTCTGTGATAAACAAGTATTGCCAACCATGTAGTCCGTTTTTGCCTTCCCAGGAAGAGACAAGATAAGTCAAGGGCCCGGAAACAACACCAGAAAGCGTAGCCATAGTTAAGAGTATGCCCACCCGAATACTAAACTCCTGAGGCTTGTATACCTTGGAAAGTAAAAATAAGATACCAGGAATATACCCACTTTCGGCTGCACTAAAGCGTTAAAGGTTTGTTTAGTAATTCATAACATAACCATCATGAGCTTACCCTAAAATAAGCCTCAAGATGAATAACCCAGTAAAGTCTTTAACAAATGCTGTCATCAGTGTTGCGAGGCCCCAAACAAACATAATGAATGATAACCATTTTGCCGCATTTGTTCTTTCAAGGATTATATTTGAGGGTATTTCAAAGATGATCTTGTAAAAAGGTTAATTGAACGTATTGTTATTATTGATCTTAAACTTACGTATGTTATAAAGAATGCTGATATGGCTGTGCTTAGCTGTGTTGAAGACATCTAAGAAAGGGAAATAAGTTACTCTTTTATCTTTAATACACTGTTTGGGTTACTTTTAAATCAGCCTGTAAACCAGCGATACTATATAATTTATAGTAAGTAAAAGAGTCTATGTTTTAAAGAACAATATTTCTTTACGCGGCATTTCCGATATTAGCTCTATCCAAGAAATCTGCAAAGTAGAATAGGCAAAACAGGGGCATTATTCGTAAGTCGAGCTTTTTTACTAGTTTCTTTTCATTTAATTCATTTATAGTTTCATATAACTTTGCATCTTCCATTGTTGAATAAACATCAATCGTGCTTGTGTTATTCAATGAGATCATGGATTGTGTTTTGTGATGATCATCGAGGTATCCATTGGGTTCAATCTTGGTCGAGTCACTAATGGTTGACTCTAGATTAAAAGGACTTTGCAACGCCATATTTCAATCAATATATTATAAGAAACAAAAGAGAAAAAGGGGATAGACAATAAAAAAAGGGGAGACATGCACCTTTTATACTATCCTCTTCCTTGCATGCTCCTTTGCATCTTCTTCTCCCCTCCCCCTTGTTTTCATTATTCATATAAATCTTTGCGCACAGTTTGACGGCATGATGAACTAGAACGGGCCTGTCGTCAGATGCTTTTCTATGCCATGTCAAATGGAATCATTATTGTATACAACAATAGGCGCTTTCCCTGCTATAAAGATGCACGCTTGGTTCATTTCTCCTGTTTCGGGTAATATCTGCCTCCTTCAGTAACATCCAAAAGGCATACATAGCAATAAAATCCGGATTGAATTCTTTTATTCGATGTAGGTGCTATTACGACGATGTGTCTATTCCTATGATGCATGTATATTCATCGGAAAGAACATCAATTGATTGTATCATACGATATATTACATTAGACTCATAAAAAGCTCGGTTGACGTAAATTCATATCATCAGCCTTAGTCAATCTAGGAAATATATGCAATCATATTGTCATGTCTTTTTACTTTTATTGCATATAATCTAATATGTTGCTATTCATCGTCATTTTGTCTCTCTCTCTTCTTTATTTTGAAACATATTGTTAGTCATACCTGCATTTTTGTTCAGAAAGGTTACTATAAGTAGCCTTATTAATTCATGCTATGTAGACTAACTCTGCATGTTTTTTGCCATGCAGATAACTCTTTCTTTTTATACATCATATCAACGCGAACTACACACACGTATATAAAACATGGGCAGATGAAACAAAAATTTGATTGGACAATCAAAATTGTGACTATGAAAATAGCAAGGAAAAAATTTTTTCTTTTTTTTTTTGTATAAAGAGTCATAAAGATTTGGCTACAAGGCTTTTTTTTTTCTCTTTACACATTTATAACAAAGTAAGTATTATCTACCAAAAAAAAAAAAAGAGAGAGAGCGAAGAAGATAAATATCGAATGATATCCCGAATAAGGACCATGTGGAATAAAACGATAATGGAATTCCTCGTATCTGAGCTCTTTTTAACTTTGTTAAACTCTGATTATTAACCTTATTTTCAGTCCTAGGTGAAAGTGCATACACAGCTTATGTGTCGTATAGCAACTGGGCCCTGGCTTTCTGTATATAATATGTAAGTATAAATGAAAAATTATAAAAAGAAGATGACGATATATATCCACGCTTCTGAGAGCTTTTCAAAAAATGAAAGATTGGATTTCTTTACATGCATCACCATCTGATTCTTTTTATTAAACATACTTATATTATCAGATTGATTCTAATCTTTATTTTAGTATATAGACAAGTCAAACTTTTGATTGCTGTATGGTACATTTTGCATCAGGTCTTCTTTCACTGAGGTTTATGTAAGTATAACTCTTCAATGTAAAAAGGAATCATATGCAAATGATGATATCCAAAGTTCAAATTGCCAGTTCTGCTTCTGAAGTTTACTGAAGAGACGAACTTATCGCTTTTAACTGAGAGTATATGATACTTTTTACATTTTTTAAAAAATAAGCATTTTTATACTAATATGCGTATTTTTATTTTAGTTTTTACAAGAAATATAAAGTGGCCTATTGTATATATAAATAATGGTAGGTTCATTTTGATGAAACAATTATAAGTGTTTCTTGAGGATGATAAATAGTTATATCCATTCTATGATGCGAGGCCCACATCTTTTTGACACCAGTAGATTGAATGATTCATTCCTTGAGTTCTTTGAGGGATGAGGACTTCTTTTTACTACCGTCGAGAAGGTGGGGATAGGTCAATCTAAGGACTTGTCTTTAGACTGGCTTGTCTTTTTGTGGTTTCCAGGATTTAAATAAACTTGCTGACAATTTTTCACTTTATAATTGTTTCTATTATTTCTTTTGCAATTGTGTTAACTATTTGATTTTAGGTAATGTATGAATAGAATATGTATATATATTTTTATAATAAAAAACTCCATTACAATCATGCATGTTCTTTTGTGTTTATTGATTTTAGTAACTGAATATATTTATTAAAGTATTTTACAATTAAAAAGAAAGAATTTACAAGTGTTGACCAAAGGCTTCATCAAATTTTGAAGCAACGATTCCAAACCTATCTGGGTCACGGGAGTGCATAGCTGCGATATCTTCAGTAATACTATGCATGAGTTGTGCATTGGCTCGATGACCAAAGTGCATAGGTTCATTAGTCAATCCAGAGCTCAATCCAGATCCATCAGTTGAACTGACTGAACCAAATGTCCTACGACGTGTTGTTTGTGTAGCATTATCTATTGAGCCAGGACCACTAGTTTGACCAACCTCATTTAAAAGGTCTTGGGTTTTAGAGGTAGCCTAATAATAATAATAATAAGTGTTTACTTTTGTGTACTTGACATACAGTTGATATACATACAGTGTTTACGATGCTGCTAATATCTCTACGCAAGTTATTGTTACGTTCATTAAATTGAGATTCCAATTCAGCGTTTGTAGGATGTTCACGATCCATAATAATAATAATGAAAAGGATTTATTAAAAAAATTAAAAAAAAGAGTAGGTATTTATACCTTAAAGTTGCATTTATGCATGAATTTTTTCTTGATGCTTTGCTAAATCATTGCTTACGTTTTTCTATGAATAAGATTACATCATGTGCTGCAAGCTTATTTTTATTAAGCATTCATTGGTTCCTTCCACAAACGACATGAATGACATAATATTGATGTTTATTATTATTAAAGTTAATATTAAATAGTAGTATGTAGTAAGCTATGAGTCTGTTGTTGTCATTGAACTAGAGGGAGTCAAGTCTAAGTATTCATCATCTTGAATTGAGGATGAGGATAAGGAGAAGCTACTGACTGACATTTGAGCAATAGGGAAAATGTAGGGCTGGCATTCAACAAAACTTGAGGGTGTGAAAAAATCATGCTTTTCTGTGACATGACTCGTTAAACATTCAGAACTGGGGATATGAAAATCCATGATATCCTCATTATCAATCCAATGATCCTTTTTACATTCAACTGTAGGCGACGGCGGCATGTAGATGCCTGAGTCATCAATAATTGACAATTTATATACTTCTTCCTTTGTTGATTCAACGAGTGGAACATTGTTTGCATGTTTGTCTGATGATTTTTTTCTACCAAAACTCAGAGTAAAACCAACACTGTTACGACTCTTATTGCTATTGTTGCTGTTACTGCTATCTGTCCTAGGCACCAATGCTTCTTCCTTCCCTTCGCTGCCCTGGTCCATGGCATCATTCATGACGGACTGGTTATTATCAGTGCTAGTAGCTGTAGTAGACCTTTGCCAGAACTTGACAGTGCGCATGAATGGCTTATTCTTAGGCTTGCTATCGATGGTTGTCATTGATTAAAAATATGCTTCAGAGTTAAAAAGAAAAAGAAAGGATTTTTTTAAAAAAAAGTCTTTTGGCCCTTTTACGGTTCTAAATGGAGAAAAATCATGAATTGCGCTAAACATTTCGGGTATAATAAACTCCTTCATTGTTTCTTTCTTTGACTCATTATTCACCATCATATTACGTTACGACATAGCCGAAAACCTCAATCCTCTTCCCTTTTTTTTCACTTTTTACCAGAGCACTCTTTCTTTATATCTATAGACTTATTATTATAAAGATGCGCTTTGAAATCCAAAATCATCCTATAAAAATAAAACTATCATGTGTACATCCTTGAGCAACTTTTGAAATTTAATTGTTCGATTAAGGCTCCATGCAGTGTATACTTAAGCATCTTAAATTCAGACTGACGTGTTTGATGAGATAATAACTATAATAACTTGAGTATAATCTTACAGTAGAGCATACATTCTACTTTACATTCCTCTATCGTATCTGATAAGAATGACTTATAATAATAACTATAGTAGCTACTAGTATAACCATAATAATATAAGCATAAATAATCACATTGACCACATTTATCATACTAACAACATTAATATTCTCTATAAAACTCTCACACAAGCTTAATTTAATAATACTCAGCTCTTCTTAATAAAGAATCTAATTCGCAAATTATCGAGTTAATAGCCTTTTTACAATAACAAAGCTGAATACAACAGTTACCTACAAAAAATCTTCCTTGTGCCTAGAATGTGAGAGTCCGTTGGAAAAGTTTAAAACGATTGTAAATCCATGGCCATATCAACGCAGAAAAATATCAACCGTTACGTGCCATGGCTTGCTCAAGTATGTGATATTAAACTGTAAACGTATAATGATAGTAAATACTTTATCATTAGGTGCAAGAATATTGTTTGCCTCAAAGAAAGTAAAGGCACACCAACTAGAAAAAAATTGTGGAATCGTGATTTGGCAGTTGTTTTAAACTTTCGAAAAATTTTGATGTATTTAAAGGAGACTGGCAAACAACATTCTTTATTTAGCAGAAAACAGCCCAAAAAACAGTAATCTTCCGCCAAAGTTACTACTCTGGTTATTTAATACAGATGATGTCCTTTCATAAATTCAAAAGCCTAATCAAACAACTAACCAAACATCTTTATGTAATGCAAATATTGTATCTTCATCATATCCTCTTTTGATTATACGATTCGGAAGAATACGCAAAAACTTAATTCCAGATCCGTTACTGCTACATATCTCTGTATTACATCATGACTATTGACCTACGGCTCTCGTAGAATAACTAAGCATGCTTTACACAAGCATCACAAGTGTACTTTATTCAGAAAGTTTAAGATGCTCTCTCTATAATAAAAGATAGGGCTTATTAAGGTTATTTAGACTCAACACCAATTGTTCATTATTTCCCCTTCAGTTTCCTTTTATGGCATACTTTATTTGCTCACAACGTGACTTTCAGGTACATAATCACTTTTACTTGCTTTATGTCCCTTCTTTGCCTTTATTTAAGTGACTCTTTTCGTCGTCAACGGCTTCTTTTTTCATTTCACAGTATTCATGAAAAATTACTGCGTAAAACAAGTAGCATCTTTTTTTTTTTTTTTTTTAGGAACCATATCAGGATGTTGTCATTGCTTTTCTTCATAATAGTTTGTTATTAGTAGCAACGTTATAGAAACAAGTCAAAGTTTCAAAGGATGCAAAATTAATTAGAAGAGCAGCCTATCAGATCATCTTTTACATGCATAAGCTGCTTTTACGTTTACTGGCGGATAGATAACTTGCCCTGTATGTCAATCGATGTTATTTGGCTCTAAAGCCGAGAGCGACCACATATCCTTCTACGAACCTTTCATCGAGTCTCTCTTGATCCAATAGTATCAATTACCGAATATATAATGGAAGCACTCGAGGTATATGTTGTCTATTGTTCTTGTTATCCCATACACGTATGAATCCAATTCACATAAAGCATATCACAAATTTAACAACGTCCCTTGGTGGAGCTGTGTTGTCTTTATCTACTCTCCGCTGGACTATCTTTTAGTCTACTTTGAAAAACGCTTGTGTTTATGAAATCAATATCACACTTTTCTATTACACCAAGTGGCCCAAAATATTTTACAAAAAGCCCATGTCAATATACTTCAATCAGCACATTTTTACATTTTCTCAATTTTTGATTTGTCCTGTCATCTTATAAAGAAAGGCATTGTGTTAAAAGTTATCTTTCGCACTCAAGCCCCTTTGATTTACATTGTTGTACACAACATGTTTCTGATTTAGATGTATTACCAAAATATCAAAAAACAAGATGCCTCTCTAGTAAAAAATTGAATTAGACAAAACCAAGAGTTTGATTAATACTACTGTCATATAAACTTTGGCCCCTCTTTTTCCCCAATAGATCACATCTAAACAAGCATTCTTTTTAATGCTTACCCACACGATAGCTCTTATCTAAACATGACGTACAGTGTGGGTGAAATACTTTACAGATAGCCAATTCCCATGGAAGAGTGTTGCAATCAAGATGTGCAAGAAAGACCTATTCAAAGTCCCGCAAAGATACCATCTAGATAACAAACTTATGGGAAAAGACTTATCAACGGCATCTGTTTATAATGAGTCCTAAAATGTGCGACAACGGTTTTTTACTTCTTCTTTTTTCTTATTACTATAAACAGTAGCATATTCAGTACGGAATTTCACGGGTTTACTAACCAGTGGGAAGTTCATACGTCATTTATCCTCTATCAAATGGTAAATGTAGAGTAAATGAGTAAGAATGAAGGCGTCTCGAGGGACACTCTTTCTCTCGACGGTATCTCCTTCACGTAATAGAGATACAGCCATTGCGCCCATACTGTGTAGTTGAAGACGGATATACGTATGCTTATGGGAAAGAGGCTTAATTAATACAGACAAGGAAATAATAAACATGGTTATAAAATACATTCACACAGCAAAAAAGAAAGGGAGAGATCGAAAAGATGTGATAAGAAAAATACATCTTTAATGACAGGGAATGGAGACTGTCCAAAAGAGGAAATTCGGTTACAAAAGGCGGGTATCATTAGCATTGGTCCCATGAATACCGGTGTTCTGGAAGAGAGATGTTTTACAAACTTTCCAAATAATGTTTCTTATGATTCTTTAACTAAAAGCCTTTATGCCATCGTTTCATGCACAATAAATGTAACCACATCACTTTGCTTGGTTTATTATTATAAATGAGCACTGCTTGGTTTGTGATAGCTTTCTATTACAAGATCATGATTGGTTGTATAGACACCGTATGTACGAATCTTCTGATATGCGGGCAGGCATGATGTAGTTAACATTTTGAGTGGTCACGATTGCTATTTATAGACAAAATGGATTATGTAAGATGTTCATATATTGAATGTTTGGTTGTCATAAAAAGAATGAAAACTTGTAGTGAAAGTGATGTTTTCTAGGATCTTTTGTATAAACCATAAACTCGAGAAGGACGAGGTAACGGTAGTGTAACACGCCCTGCTTGCGATACATATGAAAAATTGATCCATGTCTCTCCCAGATGAAACCTCTCGAAATCGTTGAGCTTCATTATAATTAATACATCAAGGAACCAATTGTTTGAGACGATGATATCCAGAAGTTTTCAAATCAAAACATGAAGAAACCGGTTTGGTTTCACATAACAGGAATAAAAAAACGAATCAGATCAGGATATCTATTTACGGACCATAGAGTGATCATTATTCACTCAAAAGCTAGGCAAGATAAAGTAAAAAAAACAGGCAGTCAATGGATCTCTAAGTACAAGAATTAAAGTGTGGCTTTTATATTGTATCTATTGTATGTAGTTATTGCCTTTATGTCATTATTAATTTTTTGAATCGTCATTTGATTTGATGTTTCTGGATCTTTGCAAGTGTAAGCATTCTTCTTTGTTAGCTTTAATATGAAGGAAATATCAAGATAAATCCTAATAAGCTCAAGCTATGGTCTTGTAAAGAATTTGCACTCTGTGATCATTCAGAACAAAATGATTACGTAAATTCAATCTCAGATCACGACCTTGAGCAACAAAGGTAATGTTAAGAAAGCTATTAGTATGTATAGAGACAGATCAATTCAAGTCATAAAACAATAGTGGTTTATTAGATGCATTAAAATACGTTTCTCCTGTGCGGCAACATTGTCTCTCTTCTTTCTGTAGATGCAAAGATATATTTGTATTATTATTAGTACAACACAATGTGAAAAGTAGGTCAGGTCGGGGACCATTGGTTCAGTAAGGTTTATTATAATGTTACACATTACTTCCCAGTCCCTGTAGAATATCCGTTTGGATAAATATAATGCTACCTAATGAACACTTTATAAACCCATCACTTGTTCTATAGACATTCATGCCCCTTTATGAAACAATATTTGAAAGTATAGGACCTGATCGTCTCTGGTGTACTAGCTGAGATCGATCCGTTCATTAGCCTAACCCCACAGTAGGATAGCCACTGAAAGGTGGTGTAACGGGATAAATCATTCCATTTTTTGCGGCAGAGTGGGCCTTTATTGGCTAGCTAGATCATATTTAATGCCCCGCATCTTTTCCCACCAAAAAAAAGTAATCATCTATATTTATGATCAGCTCGTCTTTCCGCGGAGCCCTATAAAAGGCAACTCGTACTTTTAAGAATGGCTTACTTAAGCCAGCAGATGATTTGTTTGGTTAATTTTAAATCCCAGGTTACCATCGAAAACATCTGTTCCAATACATCCCAACCAATATAAGTAATCCCCACAATTGATATATCATCACATTGGGAACACAAAAGAGAAACTGAAATATACCAATTGTTCACTTCAGTGTTGTTATTCGCCTGGATTTTATTGAATTATTCAAGAATAAAACACAGTGTCAAAAAAAGAAACAGTAAGTATATATAAAAAGGCAATCCCTTTTCAGTTCTATTTTCTCTCTTTCTTTACATCAAATCAACTTTATTTTATTTTATACTTCTTCGACTCTTTATTTCAACACAGTCCCTGTTACTGAAGTCTAATAGTTTAAACCGACTATATATTTTTTATAAATGGGTTATTTAACAAAATTAACCACCAATGTTTACGTATGTTTCTCTCTCCAGATTTATTATAAACATAATAACCTATTTAATTATAGTGCATTGGTGGATTTGCCGCTATTGCCGGTATCATGTTTGGTTTTGATATTGGTTCTAACTCTGGTGTCATTGGTACTCACCAGTAAGTCGTGGAAACTTCAATTTTTTCTTTTTTTAAATTTCTAATTCACCCCTTTTTTTTATAGATACCTTGACTACTTCAACCATCCTAGTGACGTCTTGCAGGGTGGTATTAACGGTGCACTTTCCGCTGGTTGTTTCGTAGGTGCATTGATTGCCGGTTACCCTGCTGATCGCTTCTCTCGTAAATACACTCTCATCGCTGCCTCATTCCTCTTTATCATCGGTTCTATTCTTCAAGCTGCTTCAAATGGCGTTGCTATGCTTTGTGCTGGTCGTGTCATTAACGGTTTATCTGTCGGTATCACCTCTATGGTTGTCCCTCTTTATCAATCTGAAATCTCTCCTAAAGAAATTCGTGGTCGTATTGTCTCTGTTCAGCAATGGAGTATTACCTGGGGTATTATGATTGCGTAAGTATACACATTTTCCTCGCTTGATCTGATCTTGTGACTGATTTCAACCAATAGTTTCTGGATTCAATATGGATGTCAATATATCGAAAGCACAGCCGCTTTCCGTATTCCTTGGGCCGTTCAAGGTGTTCCTGCCGTCGTTCTCTGCATGGGTATGTGGTTCTTCCCCTTCTCTCCACGTTGGCTCGCTGATAAGGGTCGCTTGGATGAAGCTCTCAAAGTTCTTGCTGATATTCACGGTAATGGCGACCCAAGCCACCCTCGTGTCCAATTGGAAATGGAAGAAATCAGAGCTACTATTCAATTCGATAAGGAAGTTGCTTCCCATCGTTACACTGACTTATTCCAACCTGGATTGGCTTACCGTGTCTTCCTCGGTGTCTGTCTTCAAATTTGGCAACAATTGACTGGTATGAACATTATCATGTTCTACGCCGTCTTGCTCTTCCAACAAGCTGGCATTGGTGACACTCAAGAAGCAAGTCTTCTCTCCTCTGGTATCTCTTATGTCGTTAATGTTGTCATGACTATTCCTGCTATTATCTTTGTTGACAAGTGGGGTCGTCGTCCTACTTTGATTCTTGGTGCCTTAGTCATGTCTATCTTCTTGTGGGCTGTCGGTGGTGTCTTGGCTGTTAATCCCTGGGCGATTGATCCCAAGGATGGCAAATGGTACGTTCACATTGACTCCAAGACACAAGCTAATGGTGTCGTTGCCTGTATTTATCTCTTCGTTGCCACTTTTGCTACCACCTGGGGTCCTCTCGGTTGGGTCTATCCTGCCGAAATCTATCCTCTCCGTGTCCGTGCTATGGCTGTCTCCCTCTCTACTGCTTCCAACTGGCTCTTTAACTGGGTTCTTAACTTTGTCGTTCCTATCTTGATGCAACGTATTCACTACGGTTTATACCTCTTATTCGCTGCTTTCAACTTCTTGATGTGTCTCCACGTCTACTTCTGTTACCCCGAAACCAAGGGCTACACTCTTGAAGAAATGGACATCGTCTTCCAACACAACCCCAGAAAGAAGATTCCTCGTGAAGTCTTGGATGAATGGGTTGCCAATAAGGGTATTCATCAAGATAACACCTTTGAAAACTCTGGCTCCGTGGCTGAGAAGAAGGTTGAAGCCTAAGCTACTTTAATATTTCCTTTTACATTATTGTATACATAACCCTTCTCTTTTAATCACCTTTAAAATATAATCATTTAATACTTGCTCGTAAAGTAACTTTTCCCCTCATAATAATAATAAAGTTACCCTTTTTACTGTATTCAACATTGTCTATTTAACCAAACAATAGCTCTCTCTCTTTTTATTATATTTAGATCCAAAATATGTTTATGCTGCTATGAAAGATATTATTATACAAGTCTATCTCATAAAGACCCAATCCATAGCTCGAAAAAAAAAAAAAAAGAACTGCTCAATTTACTAACAAAAGACGCTATGATTATGCAAGACCCATTCAAAACAAATATGATCAACTGAAGCTGAAATTTTCACGTCCAAAAAGAAAAAAAATGTTTTCTTTTACGCGCCTGCTCCGCCCGAGTTTAAACTGTTTATACCGACTTTCTAAATTACCCATAGCAACCATGGCAAGAGAAATCAAGAGCCAGACGACCACAGCAGAGACGGTGGTCAAGAGAACGGCTGAAGAGATACAAGAACAAGTAAAAGTCAAGAAAACAAAGAAGGAAGAGGTGACAGTGAAAAAGAAGAAGTCTGGCTGGGAGCCGTTCGATCCATCATTACCAAACAATATGACATTCCCTGCAAGCTTTAATTTCCCCAAAAAGCCCGAAAACACAATTACATTTGCTTCTTATAACGTCGCTAGCTTGCCTGCTAGTATTAAAAAGGGTTTCAACAAATACGTAGACGCCGAGGATGCAGATATATTATGCGTACAAGAGACAAAGGTGAATAAGCCTTTGGACACGGCAGTCAGCAAGGAGATGTATCCATATCAATATTGGACATTTAGCTCAAAGAAAGGTTATGGTAAGTTGTATCACTCATCGTCTTATTCTGCGCGTGAGGCTAATATTTCAAAACAAGCGGGTATCGCTGTCTTTTCCAAGTTCAAGCCAAAGGAAGTGACCTATGGTATACCCAAGTTTGACGGAGACCAAGAAGGCCGTGTGATTACCTTGGAATTTGACAATAACATTGTTCTTATCGCAAGCTATGTACCTAATGCAGGAGATAAGCTAGTACGGTTACCAGAACGCCGCATTTTCAATGATCATATGGAAAAGTACATTCGATCATTTCAAAAAGAAGGTAAATCTGTTATCTGGACAGGCGATCTGAATGTGGCTCATACACCAGACGACTTGGCTCGACCTGCAACCAACGAAAGATCGGCTGGTTTCACTATTGAAGAAAGAACGGATTTTAGCAAGGTGCTTAATCCATCAGATGACGGTTTGCCTGGTCTGGTCGATACCTGGAGACACTTTCATCCCGAGCAAAAGGGACATTATACTTACTACAGCTATCGTTTCAAGTGTCGTGAAAAGTTAATAGGCTGGAGATTGGACTATTTTACGGTGACTCCTGATTTACTGGACAAAATTGTCTCTAGCGAAATCAGACATGAGGCATGGGGAGCAAGTGATCACGTGCCTATTATTCTTACACTTAAGGATGTCATATTATAAGGTTTATTTAAGGAGAAGAAGGACGTAATAACGGATAGTAGTAGTGGTAGTAGTAGTAGTAATACTATTAAAAAAATGGAAATAAAGTCTACATGTAATGTGTACATAGTATGAGTGAATTAGAGAGCGTTTGGCTTTTGCTCAATCTGATCAGGTTTTAAAGGTGCGTTTGCATTGGTTAGCGTAGGAGATGTTATATTGGAAGTTGGTTGGTAGTAATGCTGTGGTTGTGGTTGCTGTGGTTGTTGGTATCCATAGTCCTGATATTGATGAGACTGTTGATATGCACTACTGTTTGCATTATACTCATAGATAGGTTCGTTAGGAGAATAATGTTCTTGATGATATTCCTGAGGATAGTTGTTTTGCTGATATCCATACTCTTCGTCTGTCAGATTCATATAACCTGTATTGGGAGGAACAAATCGACGTGCGTGTTGGAAAGGTGATGCTGGTGCACCATGCTCGGGTGCGCTGTTTCCAGCAGGATTTTCCGACATTTTCATGTCATCAGTGTTGTTTCCGAAATCATCATGAGAATTGGCTCCTCGACGGCGAGTACGACTGGCACAACCACCGTGACGGTTCAACCATGTTAAGGCACCAGCAATAACAGCAATGCCAACTATAGATAGATGGTGTAAGTTGATGTTACAGAAAATCATGAGAAGAACTTACCTAGACCGCCCACTACTGAACCAGCAATAGTTGCCGTTTTGTTTGATGAATTCGACGGCTCACCTGTACCTGGAGAAGATGTAGCACTAGTAGAGGAAGTGGGTGAATTGGAGCTAGTGGGTGTAGGATCATCCGTGTTCCCGGTTGTTGATTGGTTATTTGTTGTAGATCCTCTAGTTCTTCTTGTCGTCGTCGTGGATGCTTGATCGGCTGTCGTTGTAGTAGCTGTCGGAGAAGGATCTTGTGTTGTTGTGGGATTCGCTGTTGTTGTAGGAGGATTGTTTGTCGTATTAGGTGTGGTATTATCGGGCGTATTTGCTGACGTAGGAGGATTAGTCGTCGTTGGATTATCCTTCGTCGTCGTAGCCTGAGGCGTACTCTGAGGAGGAGTATCGGACGTTGGCTGGGGCTGCTGCTGTTGAGTAACTTGCGCAGCGCCAATAGAAGCATCACCGCTTGCTTTTTGAGATGATACTAGCTGTAATAGCAAAAAAACAACAATAGCTGAAGAAGTTAAGGAAAGTCTCATAGCTGTTTGTAAAAGAAAGGAGAAGGAGAAAAAAAGAAAGAAAGAAAGAAAGGAGTTATTTAAAAGGACAACAGCAGTAAAAAAATCTTTTTATAACTTTGGATGTAATACAGGATGTTCCATCTGTCTTTGATGATATTTTCTTTCATTGGATATCGGAGATTTTACATATTGGATTCTTCAGGTGCATACTCATTGGTCACCTGATGATGAGCTCCAGACCCTTTTAGCACTCAACATGCCCTTTCTCTCAGTGAAACTTGACCTCTTTTTTTGGAAATTATTTATAGATTCATTAAGCCAAGATATTTTTACATTAATCCTAGATTTCTTATCCAAAGGAGACTATGAATTAATGAAATCGAGAAACTATTGTAAAGTATTAAAATGCTTCAACTATAAGAAGAATGTAACCTATATTACAAAAAGGGAAGATTTATTACCAATAGCTGTCATGTGCTTCTAGACTCTTTTAACTGAGTGTCCTGAGTTTTTTTTGCATATCAATTAGTACTCTTGAGGTTTTAGGTTTGTTGATTTAATCAAAGACAAGCTAGTGGTTATCTCATGGTTAAAAGTGGGGGTTTATTATGTGGAAGTATGATGATGCAGAAAAGATAAATGATACTCTTTCGTGCCAAGTCCAAATTGATTGTTTTCCTAAATATTTCTGATTTCCCTGAATCAAATCCTACGATTATACATAAAAGGACATTACGGTGAAAAAAAAGGAGGGGTCCAAGACTAATAAAGAACCTTAACCGTTGGCTATCTTGATCACGCTTGGGATTGGCTAATACAACATCATTTATACCAATGCGTAGACATTGACGTGTGTTGTAGTGAATTACAATTATATGTTGAAAAAAAAAGTTAAAATAGCAAGCTAATAAAGATTAAAATTTAATACGTTTCAAAGAAGTCCAGGAATTTATTGTTTGATACAGTAATGATCTTGATCATGCATCATCCGTATCTTGGGGATGACTAGCAATAATCAAGCAAGAGCTCATTGTGACTGGTCTTTGTCCTTCCTTCTGTTTAACATCAACAACAATGAAAAACGGCTCTAATATTTTATGCTTCGAATAAATACATTATTAAATATATCAAGCTTGGGTTTTTATACTATTACTAAAGACATTTTGTTTAATTCGATCAAATTTAGGCTCGCTCTCTTTATTCACCTTAAATATAATAAAGGAGTAAACAAGGCAAGCAATAAGAGTACATGTGTTTGTATAACAAAGCTCATTTTTATAAAGCTTGTAATTACAAAGTGAAAAATTATCCTCTCCAAAAAAAAAAAAGAAAAAAAAAAAAGAGAGACAATGGAGAGTTTCACAACAATGTCTAAAGCATTGGAAGCAGAAAATTTCCATGCTGTCACATTTTTTTTCCGGTTAGAAAAAAAAAGTTCAAGAGCCTTGTTAATTTCATTTTATTCCTTTTTCTCTTCTTTTATTTTTACGTTTTTCCATGGACTTTTGGGTAAACGAAAAAAGTAATACCCATAAGCAGTCGAACTTGTCGAACAGTATACCTTCAATCAGGTAGTATCTCCTATTTATTTTCTATAGCCATACATTAAAGAGTTTAGCTGGTTAGACCATTGGATGATAAACCAAGTTCGCGTGTCTTTAGTGCATTACGTAGATCGCGTGCAGATACAATGCCTTCTCAACCTGCTGCTGTATTTCCATCTGATATGTTTTCAGACATAATTCATCGTCATCGTTCTGGTTCTATTACTTTACCCGCGGATAAAGAGGATGAAGATAATAAAGACGATCTTTCGAGTCCAATAGATGAAAATGCATCGAGTACTATTGCATCCACTTTAGCATCACTCGGTCTAACTGATGATGAAAATACTGCTACAGCAACTACTACTACTACCACAGTAACAACTAATAACCGAAATCGATCTTACACCATCCAAGGTGCAGCCACCAATGAGGCTTTTGGATTTCATCCCTTTTCCCCACAAACCCAGTCGAGTATCTTGCAGCGCCCTCGAGCAATCAGTTTGGGAATGGCAGATTCGTTTTCTCCTTTTCAACACGAGCAGCAGCAATCGTCCAAGTTGCACATAGAGCAAAAACATTCACCAATCTTGAGATCTTCTCGGAGTACAAACAATTTACTAGATACCACCCATTACTTTTCAAATGAAAATATCATGGATAATGAAGGAAAAGAAGTAATGTACTTTTAGTATAAATATATTCTTTGAACTAACATTTCGTATGTACATCAGGATTCAGGTGACTCTCCTTCTTCGTCTCAAGCACAAATACCCTCTCGTGCTCTTTGGTTGGGTAATATCAATCCCAGTGTGAGTGTACCTGATCTCGTACACATGTTTTCTGCGTATGGCCCAGTGGAGAGTGCAAGAATTCTGTCAGATAAAGAGTGTGCCTTTGTTAATTTCTTGACAGTTGATTCAGCTGTGGCTGCCAAGAACGATTTGGAAACAAGATTGGGCTCAAAGCTGGCAGGAACCCCTGTTCGTGTCGGCTTTGGCAAGGCAGATGTGAGTTCAGCCATGGCAGATGCAAGTCCTAATACTCAAGGACCTACACGCGCTTTATGTAAGTAGGTTCTGAATAAAAGAAAATAGTATTAACTCTCAACTTATTATTAGGGGTTGGTAATATTCCTACCAATGCAAGCGCAAATGCACTTCGTAACATATTCCAAGCCTTTGGGTCTATTGAATCCGTTCGAATTCTGTCACACAAAAATTGTGGATTTATCAATTTTGAGCGACAGGAGGATGCAGTTCATGCCAGGAAAGCACTTCAAAATAAAGAGATATTCGGGCCAGGAACTGGCACTGTTCGTATCGGCTTTGCAAAGGCACCTTCTGCCTCGGATGGAGTAGATTTAGACGATGGATTACCTGTGACAGATAGCTATCAAGCAGCTCAATGGGCGACAGCGGTCATGATGGCCAACATGATGATGAATGCATCTGGGCAGCCGCCTACAGCGCAGCCTAGCTTGTTTGTTGCTATTGCCTCGGAGAGACTATTTATCATGAAGCAGTTGGGAATTGAACCGTCTGAGAAGCTCAAGGGTTTGCATAATAGATAGATATATGCTTCAAAAATTAACCTTAATCAAAAGTGGATAGAATCCCATTAGTGTACCATTCTGCTATACCGCCTGTACCTGAATTGGGGCCCGACAGAAAGCTAGATCCTCTTTCGCTTCGAGAGATGAGAAAAAAGCTAGAAAATGAAGAATCAGTGGCCTTGGAACAAGCAGAATCAATTGCATCGGATTGCATGGACGAAGTTGTTGAGCTCTGCAGCGGTAAGATATACACGAGTACGTCCTGTATTGCATCACTTACAACCTTTATATAGACTATATTGGAAACACAGTGATCCAAAAGCTATTTGAATGCTGTACTGAAGAAACAAAACTCAAAATGTTAAAGAAAATTGCCCCTCATCTGGCCTCTATCGGAATTCATAAAAATGGCACTTGGGCTGCACAAAAGATAGTTGATTTTGTTAATGAACCAGAACAAATTCAGCTCATAAAGGAGTATATCGCGCCCTATATTCCTTTACTGCTACTAGATCAATATGGAAATTACGTTGTCCAGTGCTGTCTTGTTAAGAAAGATAATCAGTATATCTTTGACGCCATTGTTGACAAGTGCTGGGAAATTGGACAAGGACGATTTGGTGCTCGTGCTGTAAGATCTATATTAGACAATCCAACAATTACTCAAGAGCAACGTGTAAGTGTATGACTGTTATATGAGATACTCTATTGATGCCTTGATCTATTTATTTTAGGTGTATGTAGCAGCAAGCATCGTTCAAAATGCAACGTTATTAACAACAAATGCCAATGGTAGTTTATTATTGAACTGGTTTTTGGATAGCTCACAGCTTCCTGGACGTTATCGTGTCCTCTGTCCACGCTTATTGCCATATCTAAGCAAGTTATGTATAAATAAGCTAGGTTCAATAACTATACAAAGGATTATCCAACAATCTGAGGAACCAGATGCAGCCACTCTGATAATGAACTCGCTTTCAGAGAAAGCAAGATCAGATTTATTGACAAGAAAATGAAATTTAGTATAGAAAAAGTGTTTATAAATGTATATCATAGTTTTCTTTTAAAATTGCTCTTGTAAAAAAGTAAAAATAATGTTTAACTACAAATAAAGAGAAAATACAGTGAGGTTAGATCTCAATTTTAAATGATTTGCACATCATTGAATTTCTTATTTTAGTCTAGTTTCACAAAGATGAAGGAGATCGACCATTTCTCTTTTCTTTCTTTCTTTCTTTTTTCTTTCTCTTTTCTCTCTTTTATTTGAATGCAAAATGGAGAAGAATAAGCAAATAAGTGAACCACTTTTAAATAGTACAGAAGATATTCAAGAGGATATCATACTGGATAATGAGTGGTCATCCAAGAGAAACCCTCATCAACCATATATTGTAATATAAGCATATGATATATATAATATATAGACTAACTTACTCCCTTATCAGTCTAAATATAAACTATACATCATTGGTAGTTGCTGCATCACTATACTAAGTACTCTTATCATTGCTCTTACTTTATCGCCCTTTAAGCTGACACTACACAACTATACAAGATCAGTTGATGGTAAAAAGATCAAGCTCGAAATTAATGTCAATAACAATATCTATAATAGATAATGTAAAGCCTAAAAATATCATCATGATGATTAGTGATGGTTTAGGTCCAGCCTCCGTTTCATTTGCTAGAACATATTATCAATACACGAATAATAAGCCGTACGACTATCAGATGCCACTAGACACCATTCATATTGGTCAATCACGCACTCGCAGTTCTTCCACACTGGTGACCGATAGTGCTGCTGGTGCAACAGCCTTTAGTTGCAACATAAAAACATACAATGGTGCTGTAGGAGGTAGAAAGTAAAAATAAAAAAAAGACCCCCTTCTCATCTTTCATTTTATGCATAGTGGACCCTCATAAAAATCCCTGTGGCACGATCCTTGAATCTGCCAAACATACTCAGGGAATGCTAACAGCACTTGTAGCTACGTCACGCATCACGCATGCTACACCTGCTTCTTTTTCAGCGCATGTCACAGACAGAGATAATGAAAACAAGATTGCCGTGCAACAAATTGGAGATAATCCATTAGGCCGTAGTGTTGATTTAATGTTTGGTGGTGGCTATTGTTACTTTTTACCCAAATCGTCCAAAGATAGCTGTCGCTCAGACCAACGACATTTACTGAATGAGGCCAAGGACAGATATGATTGGAATACGGTCATTTATAATAACAAGACCGCATTTGATGATTTGCCTGTTGACCCTAGTATCTTACCAGCTATCAGTTTGTTCTCCTTTGACGTAAATAGCGACAAATATAATCAATACAAAAAGAGATTGATGTAAATTATATATAGCACATGGCTTATGAAATCGATCGAGTCCCCAGTAAGGAACCTAGTTTATCCGAAATGTCTCAAAAGGCTCTTGATATTCTCTTCAAGGCGACTGAAAACAGTGACAAGGGATTCTTTATCATGATCGAAGGCAGTCGAATTGACATGGCTGCTCACTCGTAAAGTATAGCAAAGGCTTGAACTGAGTAATTACTGACGAAGGTCCAATAGGAATGATCCTGCTACACATGTGCATGAGATTCTAGAATATCAAAGAACAGTAGAGCTTGTCAAAAAATACGTGGATGAGCATCCAGATACTATCATGATTTCAACAAGTGATCATGAGACAGGTGGACTGTCTTTAGCCAGACAGGTCTCACAGGCATATCCAGAATATCTTTGGTATCCAGACGTACTTGCCAAAGTGAAGAGCTCAACTGTAGCTTTGGCAGATTTGGTATCTCAAAATAGAACAAAAGAATTCGTTGTAGAAACAGTCTTGAAAGATCGTCTTGGAATCGCGGATGCAACTGATGAAGAAATTGAACAACTGCTAAAATCAGGAAGTAATATTGACTATTATCTGGCAGAGATGGTCTCTATTAGGGCTCAGCTGGGAGTAAGTTTATTTAGTATGATCGCTTGCTAGTTTACATGTATATAAATATATATATCTTTTTTTAGTGGGCAACTCATGGCCATAGTGGAGTAGATGTTAATCTGTATGCTTATGGAAATGGTACAGAAGGACTTGCAGGCAGCCACGAAAATACAGAAATAGGACAATTTATTACCAGCACATTTGGCTTGAATCTAAAAGGAATCACAGAACAATTAAACAAGTAAGTCAATTTGTTATGCTATCTTTCTTTAACATTTCGTTTTCTCTAGAAATAATCCATCCTTTCACTTATCAAATATGACAGCTGAGGACAAACTGGAATATAACCGTGTCCTTCAGCATTATCATTTTGTTCCTTCGCACTTGAAGCATCCTAATTTATAGAAATAAAACTCTTTAAACCATGAAAGTTATCTTGTTACACCTTGTAAACAGACACAATGTCTATCACTGATTTACAATAGTGTAACAGCTAAAATCAAGTACTTAAAGAGTCAATTCAATTCTAATTGACGTTTTTTACAAGTTGCATAAATGACAATTCATAATTAAAAAAAAAAGAGGAAGAGCAGATATTTGTGAGCAACAAGGTTTTTCATGAGTAATGCTTTTTCTACCATTTTCATAAACCGACATTAGAACCAATCAAAATTGAGAATGATGCTCAACCTTATCCTTTTTTTATCCCCACAGAGAAAAAAAATACCTTTTATTTATCAACATGCCTTCACCACCTAAACCTTGGGAAGTGAACAATCCTAATGCTTCAGCCGTTGTGACTTCTCCTACTACTGCAACTAATCTAACAACTAGCACAGCGCCTGACATTCCTAATCGTCCAACAACAACAACAACAAATGATACCATTGCAACTCCAGCCAGACCCTTGGGTACATTTCATTACTTATAATTTATTATATTTATTAAAATAAATGATAGGATACTCGAATGGATATGGCTCCACTGGATATGGAACTACTGGATATGGATCATATGGGTCATATGGATCCACTGGTTATGGCTCTACTGGATATGGATCATATGGAACCACTGGCTATGGTGGTATTGGATCCACTGGTTATGGTGGCTATGGTGGCTATGGAAGTTATGGTAGCTCATATGGAGGTTACGGAAGCTATGGCCGCTATGGTGGAGGATATGGTATGGGTTATGGTATGAACCGGTTTGGACCCATGAATCGTCCTGGAGAAGATATGCCTCTTACTCAGCGTATGGAAATGGGTACTCGACCAGCATTTGAAGTAGTAGAGAACATTGTCGGATCCTTTGGTGGATTTGCCCAAATGCTTGAATCAACCTTTATGGCAACACATTCGAGCTTTATGGCCATAATGGGAGTTGCTGAACAATTAGGATATCTCAGAAACTATCTAGGACAGGTGTTTAGCGTCTTTGCCCTCTATCGTCTGGTAAAACGATTTATTCAAAAAATAACTGGACGAGCACCCGCTGTTAAGCCGATGGAGATCAATGCATCAGAATTTTATCAGTTTGACCAAACAAGCAAACCCAAGATGTCACGTAAACCATTCATTGTGTTCATGCTCATGGTAGTTGGTCTTCCATACCTAATGCATAAACTAATACAAGTCATTTCGAACAATCAAAAACGCCTACAAGAACAACAGTTACAACAACAGCAGCAGCAGGCAGCAACAATTGATCCTTCAAAATTAGAATTCGCTCGTGCAATGTACGACTTTGCAGCAGAGTCACCGATGGAACTGAGCCTGAAGAAAGGCGATATTGTCGCCATTATTACCAAGTTAGATCCAGTAACGAATGCAGCAAGCCAATGGTGGAAAGGAAGACTTAGAGACGGAACAATGGGTATGTTCCCTGCAAACTATGTGGAAATCATCCAAAAGGCGTCAAAGGACAGTAATGAAGTTAAAGCGATAAAGGAAGCAGATGATGCCATGAAAGCGATCGAAGAAACAAAGAATTAAGAACGCAGATACCTTTTTATTATATTATCTTTATTATTATTATCGTCATCATTATTACCCCCTTTTTTTTGTTATTGATGGTATTGTATATTATTACAGTGATTTTATATATGGAGCCGAAGCTCAAGCTTATTAAAGTGACAATGAGATTAGTTGCATTTTTTTTTTTGGTTTTTTAAAGCATCTTGATAAGCACTCTAGTACAGCCTTGATAATAATGATTCCTAGAGATCACAAGAGGAGAGCGCAGTGTAGATGTGGGGAAACGGTAGTCCCGCAGCTCGCTAAACATACTGCTTTGGGGTACAAGAAACAAAAAGCAATACAGGCAGGACAACAGTATACGGTGTAAAAGGGCTAGTAAGGGAGCTTACCGAGGAGAATTTGAAACCAAAAGTTACAGGAAGGGTGGTAGAATTACATATCCCAAAATCTAAACATGGGTTCGTTGACAGCAAGAAAGATGAGACAAGTGACAATCAAAGCTGAAAAAGTGAGTGTTGCAGCTGTGGTTGAAAAAGTAGACATTGGCATTAACCGTTACCGAGTCAAAAGTCGACAGCACGAAATACAGCTACAAAAACCGGAATCTAAAACCAGCTAATTGTTAAAAAAAGAAAACTTCTATATGTTTAGCATGCTTCATAAGCCTACAAAATCTGCCAGGGCAGCTATTGTGAAATGAACTTGAAAACTCAGTCCTTTATGTCTACCTTGTACAAATTGGAAGATTATTACAATTTGTATTATTGGTCACTGCATTCAAAAAGTATGGGCACTATTGTCACTATGGTGATCCGTGTGCTCAATGATGTACAGATTGCTACCTCTAATACTTTCTCATAGGGGAAAGACTGATCACTAAGAATGACGGTAATGTCGTCATTGGATCAAGCTTTTGATAGTGCAGCACAAAAGAAGATCATTGAAGAAAATGACGAAAGCGGGAGGGAATAATGCATTTGATTTATTCATGACAAGTCACGTCAATGTAAGCAGACCAAGAAAACAAGTACCCTTCTTTCATCTAAAAAGGGCAGTGTACGTTTATGGAAAGGGCGGCCCCTGATCCATTTTACAAAATGAAATGCTGCACCAGACCGTTCAGTGAACCTTTGAAAGGGGCTTCCTATGAATCGCATGTGATGGGGTAATTTATCTAATGAAATTAACGTCATAAACATAGCGGGAACAAAAAAAATAGACTAAATGATGGGGGGAGAGTTAAGAGAAAAATGTGCAACCTTTGTGAATTCATTGTTCATTTGAGGAGGACCCTTTAGGCTTATGAATATGGCTCATTGATCTTTTGTCGCTATTACTAACCTTAGATAGACCTATCATAATGAATGTTTGTCATAATGTAAAAAAAGAGCTATATATAAATCAGGCATGTGAAAGTGGGCCATTTCTTTGATTCTGTCCCCGATGTATGAATGGTGCTGTGTGCATATTGACTATAAAACAAATAAACAAAGAGCAGAGGCATGCATCTATTAAATATATAGCACACAGATGTATGATTCACATCTTTAATCGTTTTATGGTCATTCATCAATATAGCAATTAGTTGTGAGCTTGAAATATACACTCTGAATTTAAATACTATTCCCACGTTATTTGATTGGGCCAATTGTTAAAATGTGGGGAAACGGCTGTTTACAGTTCCATTATGAACAAGCTCTATCAATCCCCTCTTCTCTTTCCATTTTTACGTGTGCTTTGCTTTCGCATCATTAATTATTTGTTTACGGTAGCTTTTAAGATAAAGCATTTGCAAGTGTGCGTTATTTTTAAATTGACTCCTTGCCTAAAGAATATGATTTTAGGAAGAAATCGGACCAAAGTCACTATATAACTTCCGTCATGTCCCGTTTGCCTTACTGAACCCAGCGGACATTCATTTTATTGGAAAGGATGCCCTTTGCACGAGCTAGGAGAAGGGCATAAGCGATCGTACTCCGACCTTTCCGAGGATAGATGAATATAAAAGGATCAGCTTATTCTTTCGTCCTTTTCACTTTACTCTTATTTTTTTTTTACATACGCATTAAAAACAATGGTTGCCTCAAGACCCGGATCCCCTTACACTGGAAGACCTGCCAGCTCTGGCTCAGTCCACACCAAGGTTGAAGAAGAATTGCATGAAGTTGCTGGTATTGACTATGATAAGGTAAAGAAAACAATCAGTTCATTGATCTCTAAAACAAAATGACTCACTCTTATCATCATTCAAGGTTACCATCAAGCGTAATCCCTCAGTTGCCGTCCTTTACGAAGAAGCTTTGACTTATGAACAAGGTACCGTCATTTCATCTGCTGGTGCCCTCTGTGCCTACTCTGGTAAGAAGACTGGTCGTTCTCCCAAGGATAAGCGTATTGTCGAAGAAGAAACCTCTCAAAAGGATGTCTGGTGGGGTCCTGTTAACACTCCTATCAGTGAACGTGTCTTCTTGATCAACCGTGAACGTGCCATCGATTACTTGAATACCCGTCCTCGTCTCTACGTCTTTGACGGTTTCGCCGGTTGGGACCCCAAGTACCGTAAGAAGGTCCGTGTCGTTGCCTCTCGTGCTTATCATATCTTGTTTATGCGTAACATGTTGATTCGTCCTACTGAGGAAGAACTCGAAAACTTTGGCACTCCCGACTTCACCATTTTCAACGCAGGTGAATTCCCTGCTAACCGTTACACCACTGGCATGACATCTACTACCTCTGTCTCTGTCAACTTCAAGCGTAACGAAATGGTCATCCTCGGTACTGAATATGCTGGTGAAATGAAGAAGGGTGTAAGTATAAAAGAAAGAAGGAAAAAGAAAAGAGAGCGTGGTATTAAATGTGTGGGATAGATCTTCACTGTCATGCACTACTTGATGCCCAAAGCTGGTGTCTTGTCTCTCCACTCCTCTGCCAACGAAGGCCCCGATGGTGATGTTTCTCTCTTCTTTGGTCTTTCTGGTACTGGTAAGACCACTCTCTCTGCTGATCCCAAGCGTCAATTGATTGGTGATGACGAACACTGCTGGTCCGACGATGGTATTTTCAACATTGAAGGTGGTTGTTATGCCAAGTGTATCGACTTATCTGCCGAAAAGGAACCCGATATTTTCAACGCCATTCGCTTCGGTGCTATTCTCGAAAACGTTGTCTTGGACGAAGAAACCCGTGTGGTTGACTACTCTGATGACTTCTTGACCGAAAACACTCGTTGTGCTTATCCTATCTACCACATTCCCAACGCCAAGCTTCCCTGTATGGGCGGTCACCCCAAGAACATCATCTTGCTCACCTGTGATGCCTTTGGTGTTCTTCCTCCTGTCTCTAAATTGACTGCTGAACAAGCCATGTACCATTTCATTTCTGGTTATACTACCAAGGTTCCCGGTACTGAAGATGGTATTGTTGAACCTCAAGCCACTTTCTCTGCCTGTTTCGGTGCTCCTTTCCTTGTTCTCCATCCTCAACGCTATGCTAGTATGCTTGCTGAAAAGATGTCCAAGCACAAGGCTGATGCTTGGTTGATCAACACTGGCTGGATCGGTGGTTCTGCTGCTACATCCAAGCGTTGTCCTCTCAAGTACACTCGTGCCATCCTCGATGCTATCCACAGCGGTGAACTCGCCAAGGCTGAGTATGAAACCCTCGAAATCTTCAACTTGAGCATCCCCAAGGCTGTCTCTGGCGTTCCTTCTGAACTCCTTAACCCCAAGACTGCCTGGAACGGTACTCCCGAACAATTCAAATCTTCCCTTCAGAATGTCGCCAAGATGTTTGTTGAAAACTTCAAGACATACGAAGATCAAGCCGCTCCTCAAACTTTGGCTGCTGGTCCCAAGATCTAAATTCCTTCATATACTCTTTCTCTTTTGCATAACATGATGAAGTTTGTTTTTTCATTATTTATTTTTCTGTATCATACTCTTATTAACATGACATTGAATAAAAAAAAAATTTATTTTTGTATCAAGTGGTATTTCTCTTTACCATATTCACTCTTCGTAGTATGCCCTGTTTGTAAATAACCATTTTTGGTAAAATCAAGACCTACTTGCCTTTTTTCCTTAAAGAGTGTGGCTAACAAAAGGAGAAAAGCTGTATTTTGATTTTGTTTGAGCGAAGACAAGTAAAAAAGGAGGAAAATTTGTGTTGTATTAAATAGTTAAAGGAGGGAAAGGGAGTGACATTAGGGAGTTGTATACAAACTAGAGAGTTTTCATTCCAATCACCTCAAGGGTGAGTTTTTCTAATTTTAGTAAATGTGTCAGTATTTGAATCTAAAAAGAAAAGAACCATATGTCTGCTTTCAAAGGGTAAAAAAAAAAAAAAAAGCTCTCAATGGATAAGATCAGTGTCTGATCATTGAATTACTGGGAGGGGATATTATATCTTGATAAAATACTCGAAATGGAAAGATTTAACAATAAGATTGGTTATAGCTGTGCTTAAACACGCATGAGCGTTTTCTGATTGTAGTACTTGAAGCATGCTGTTTTCAACGTGTTTTGAATACGCTTACTATGTTTTACTAACATCACCCATTGGGCACTAATTTACAGTGAGAGCGAAAGAAATCAAACACCATCAAGACTTTGTTCGACAACGTATTTCAAGATGTCTGTCATGCGCCTAGAGATTGTCGCTCTTGTGAGTTCCAACATTATGGACAGGCCATTCAATATCAATGCAGTCCTTGGTTTTCCTAGAAAAGAGAATTGCATATAAAGTTAGTGCCAAAATCGTACAGCTGTCGAAAAGAAGACGAAAGATGATTCCCAAAATAAAATCTGTTCTTATTTCTTAATTGATTTGTTGGAACAAATGGAGCTTTGACCAAACGTCATAGTCTTTAATTCTGCGACAATCATTTTAATTCAGATGGAATAAAGCCTAGCCAACTTGCCTAGACCGCGCTTACTAAACAGGGTGGCAACAAATTAATTCGCAAAGTGTCATGTAGATCAGCCAATCGAGATGTCTCAAAAGGAGAGGAATGAACATATGGAGCTGTAAGTTAAATCTCGATACTACGTTTAATACCACTAAATGGCGATTACCCAAACCGATCGGAAGTCCAATGTATGTTGTATGCGACTAAACTTCTTAAAGAAAAAGACAAAGGATGTATTACATTTCTCTCTGACCTATGCTTTTTTTTTTTTAAAAAAAAACTTCTTTTTCTCATTCATTGGGAGGAGATAAAGCCAAAAACAGGATATCCTTGATATCTGTAATATTGCATAAAATGTCTCACATGCGATCGTATGCGATTACATATATAGTTATTTATACACGTTTATGGTATTATTGGTTAATTTTCTAACAATAAGTGTCAATACTTGACCCCCTAAAAGAGGCCTTAGCGCATATAAACATATAAGACTCAAAGAGAAGGGGGAGGGAAAGGAGATGCAAAAGTAACCTTTTTATAGTCATTTTTAATTGGAAAGTTAGGTACCATTATCTCCCAATTTGGAAAGTCATTTCCAAAACGCCGCTTCTGCTTTTTACTATATTTGTCTTTCTAATTTTTTCTACCATCAGGGGGTCGTCATATCTTGAAAACCTCTCAATTGTATAGTGCCGATTAGTTAATCTTGTTCTCCCCTAAAAATAAATGAATAAAGATAAATCGAAGCTTTTTTTTGTTGACGTAATTCGAATGAAAATGAACTTGTAATTGAATAAGTAGCTTGTACTTTCTGATCCTATTCTCTTTAATATTCTGACCTTATAGTCCCAGATAATTCGTGTATCCGCTTATTTCTCTTGAGTTGTTCGTGGTCAACACACAGGGAGTCGTTACAGTTGTATAGTCCTGTCTCGTGTCTTCTTGCTAAATCTCGCTGCAGGTGCTGCACAGGAGTGTTTCCTCTGTTGCCGAAGCTATAGTTACAACCTTTGGAATGTGAACATCATGATCTTTGAATACTTTATCTTTAACAAATCACTATACTAAAGGCTTATTGTTGTAATACTTTTATTAAATGAAGGACTTTTTTTAATAAAAGGATTAATAATGTGCTCATGTAGAATATACAAGTTTTAACCTGCTTTCACCCCCTCATGATTATGTATCTGTATTGTTGGAGCGCATCACAAAAAGGGGAAATTTACGGAAGTTTGGGTCATGAAGTTGATAGGGAGTACATCGGGATTGTTCCTTTATCATTTTACTTTTGCGCACATTTTAAAAGCAAGTTCATTGAAGAGTGATCCCGTAAGTTGGTGAAAGGGATGTTTCCTATTATTGTTGTTGTGCCACAGTCTAAAAGTGATAACTCTGGATGTGCGACTTTAAAGACAGTTTAAATCGTGTCTTATGAAAGCAATATGAGAATATAGAACAGCTTTATTTATGGAACATTACCAGCAGTCTTATCAATGTTCAAAGAGCAAGCAAGTGAAAAAGAACATGACAACATCAAATCAGAAGCTTCTGTTAACCCCATCGTTCTCACGGAGAATGCAAGACGTCTGATCGAACAAATCCATAGAGCATATTTTACACCAAGAGCCATCAAACAGGAACTAATTAACTTCTCGTATCTAAATAATATTGATCCTATCATTTACCATGATACTCAGTTCCTTGACCGTACAGTTACATACTTCTTAGATCTGATGGTTTCCCTAAGCAACCCTCTCAGCACGACCATTTTGGAACGTACAGCAGTAATACATACAACCGTTTATATTACCAATCAATTATTTTTATCAAATAATGATATTGTGGAGTTGGCATGGTTAGAGCGCAAATGTACTGCTACTGAAAAGTCCAAATGGGATGATGCCCTCTTTAAGGTAGAGCCAACATTACATACACCAGAACATAGGCCAAATAATGTAAATACAAATTTATCTTAATTACAGGTGATTGATCAAACTTACGACATAAAATTAGAATAAATAAAGCAATAACAACATTTCTTTTATCTCCTCTTCTTGAAAAGAAACAAACCAAGATGATGACTTTAAAAAGGCATGCTTAGCTTGACGCCATACATTTAAGAGTCTTTTTGACGAGATCACTGGCAGTATCTATAACATTAACCTATTTTCTGGTGCATGCAATTTTTCCCTTAAGATAGGCCATATAGATGTGTCCACTGCGCTGGCGAAGTTTTTCGGTGGGTCTGATGACAAGACTTCTACTATCAAAGAAAGTCGGGACATTGAAAAATTATACAAAAAGATGTTGAAAGTTTTTAGTGATACAGATCCCGTCCCAAAAGTCATGTACTATATCAGATTTTATGGTATAGTATATGTTGCATAATTTCACTTTGAGCGGTTTAACAAACAATAATTTATTGCAAATGTTGTGTACTTTGAGAAGCTGTGTGAATACTGTGGTTCCTTGATTAGAAACACTATTACTTCGCTTGTTGTTCCCACCACACCTAGATCAGTGAAAAAAATACGTTGAGCAAGTTCCTGATCTCCTTGCTTGGAAAGATTACGCGGTTAATCAAACATTAAATCTGTAATTCCTCTGGCACAAACATCCTATGCTCATTTTATATCCTCTACTGGTTATTTTTAAGCCTATGTACTTATATTACCTTATTATATATTACATTATTGTATATACATATTTTAAATAAATTATCTTTCTAATTGAGAATTTTAAAAGCGCAAGGTGTTTTCAAAAAGCGCCATTTGTCACTGGGAAGCACTGTATATGAAGGCATCATTACGTATATTTTTCTGTATCCCCTTACCATATATGTATATATATGATCAAGGATGTAGCCCCCGACAAAATGAAGAGAAATGGTTTTCTTTAGAGCCAAGACATTTGAAACTACGATTATATCTTAATTGTCATAGATCGTTTTAGAAACTTCGTAACTCGATCATCAGATGGTATCACCATGTGTTGGCATCATCATCAAACACTGTACTTTAGTCATCAAGTTGTTCTATTCATCTCCACACACAGACTTGGCCCTAGTCCATCTATCCGTGCGTATGTGTACAACATGTGCAGTAAGGAAATCATTGGTTTTATTTTAATTCCAACTAGTGCGCATAAGTATCAAATACTCCTTAAAATGTTTGTGATGAAAGCACAAGTAGGAGGGAAAGACAGAGAAAGAGAAAGAATGAAAGAGAGAGAGATAAAGAAAGGGGGGAGTTGGAAGAGTGTAGAAAGTATTAAAAATGAACTTTACATGAAACAAAAATATTTAACCCCCTATTTATGCTGTAGAACCCGCTTTTTTTGTACTTTGTGCCGCGGCTTCCGAATTTATCTGTTTACAAAAACCAAAAAAAAAAAAATAAAGGGAATAAGGGATGAACTATCCAGAACTTAAAGAAGGAAGGGGGAATATAGATGAAACGGACTTGCAGTAAAAGGACAAATAAAACTTTTACGTTTTTCTTAAAAAGGAAAATTGAATGATTTTTAAGGGTTCAATTAAAAACCAAACAAGGCTTTAAAGTTTATTAAGTGTAAATAAAGAGCATTGTGTAAATAAATAAGTATTTTTTTATGCGTGTGTAGTCTAAGTAAAAGGTAGCATATATACGTATTATATATTGTAAAAAAAGGGGGGGAAGAGAGAAAAGCTTATTGTTGTTATATACATTAAAATGAATGTTGCTGTTGTGTGTGGAATTGGTATAATAATAACCAAAGTAATGCCAAAAGTAGAGAATATGAATTATTATAATAATATAAAAGGAAAGAGAGGGTTGCTGCTCGCTGTATATGATGTTCATAAATAAACCACTGTAGTATAATCATTGTTGTTGTTGTTGTTGTTGTTGTTGTTGTGATAGTGTGGTAATAAATAATCATGTCGTAAAAATAGAACAAATTAAATGCGCAGCTCATGGTAAAGAGCACTCAGCTGTCTATGGTCTTCCGACCAAGGTAGCTTTTCCCAAGCAACATCCTGAGCAGGTAAAGAGCGGATAGGAGGGAAAGGGATTAATTCAGGTTCTTGTAATTCATTTGTATTGTTGTTGTTATTGTTGTAATAATATTCTTCATCCGATGACCATGGCGATGAGGTTAAAGAAGGCGAGGCTGATATGATGGAGGAGTCAGTTGAGTTTTGCCGAGTTGGATTATAATATTGCAGACTGTGAATAGAAGCTGTATGACCACCGCCGATATCTAGTGGATTGATTTCAGGGTACTGTCCTTTGGGGATTTCTAATTTGTTTAGCAAAGGGTCATCTGAGGGTCTCTTTAAGCGTCCAGAGATAATATCAGCCTTTTTGTAGTAAGAAATTAAATGAAGCTTTTGGTTGGATGCAGTGCAAATAGAGAAACTCTGCTTGATCAATCCATTGGGTTTATACGAAAACACGACCTGCTTCATGCCAGGTATAGCCATCGAAGGTTTACGAGGACGTCTTTTTGTGTCCAATTCACGATAAGTCAAGAAACTACCCAAGACCCGACTGGGTGACCAAGTTCTACCATCTGTCCATCGTCGCATGCCAGCTTCTCTTTCATCCCAAGCAAAGACAGATCCAGAACGTATTTCTGTACGTTCTTTAGAGGTCAATCGCCTTTTGACTCTTTGAAGTAAACCTTTTCTACAAGCTTCAAAAATGATGAGAGCGTCCTGGGGTGTTTTAATATAGCCAGTAAATGATTCCATTTTTTTTTTTTAGAAAAAGATAAAAAGATAAAAAAAATGCTGGTTTTATTTTATTTTAGAAAATTTTAAGCTTTTTATTTTAAAAAAAGTAATGATTATGTCATATTTTGTGTTTTTGTATTCTAAACAAAAATTAACTCCATTTTTGGATTCATGCAGGAAGAAAAAAAAAAAGCTTAAAAAGGAAAGTCAAGTTGGAATTAGAGTGTTTGCATTTTTATATCATCACGACATAAAAAAGGAGAATTCAAAAAGAGAAGAAAAAGCCATTGTATATGTTTATAAGGGATATTTGTTGGTAAATATAAACTATAAAAAATGCAAGCATTCAAAATATGATTGAATGATCGAAGGTCATAGAAGGTAATAGAATGGCATAGTAACACATGTAATTTGTTTGTTCTTTTGTACTTAAAAAAAGGGGGGACATTTGTTTCTCTCCTATTTTAGAACTCGAATAGATTTGCATATCGAATATTTTCTATTGTATTTACTATCAGACAAACATTCCAACAAACGACAATAGATTTTTTTTTAATTAAGAAAAAAAAAAAGTCGTTGATGTAAAACAGATAACTTTAGTAAATGTTTATAATCTTAAAGATTTCAATGTCTGTGCTCCCTCCCCCTTCTTTTTCTTTCTCTCTCTCTCTCTTTGTGTGCCCATGTCATCATCATCTCGATACATTAACATTTTTAAGTCATTTCTGTAATACAAGGCATATAAGTATAATAAATGCATTGATTACCGAACTTATGGATCAAGTGATTTTTCTTTATTGTTAATCACATACCAATGTCATCCATCCAATTCATCACTTCTTGAAATTCATTGTTGACATCATCTAGCTTCACTTGATCAATCCAACCATCCAAGAATTCGGGCGGTCTAGTTGCTTGATTCATTCCAACAAACAAAATAGGAAACTGTGGTTCAAATTGACTCGATGGTAATCTCATTTCATCCTCTTTGCCTGGTAAAAGCACTAATCCAGACACTGGCTTATTCGATACATACTTTTGTGCAATCTTCCATGCACTCTCACCACGACTGATCAATATAGGTGGAAAAAATGAAAGCTCTGATGTGGCTTGATGCAACTCTATTTTTTGTTAAAAAAGTATTTTCTTTGATCATTTTGTTACCATCGTAACAAGTCTTTAATATCCTCAAGGGTTCCTTTTCTTCTTTTGGTATACCCATAGCAACGTCTACTGAGTGATAGCCTAGGTGACTAAAGCGCGTCTTCCATATCATGGACCATTCACTTTTTATAGTTATAATCTTGTCTTCTTTTTTCATGTATTGTTTTTACTTTGATGGTGCATCATTTGTCATTCTTAGTAAAAGAATTGGCGTTGGTCTTTTGACAGATGCTTTCTCAGATGGACCAAGTGATGTCACTGTTATTTTATGTCTTTTGAATATTACTAACAAATATACCCTTAGTTTTGATAAAACAGCTTTTTCTTCTTTAGTTTCTAACCTTTATTTCGTATGAAATGACAAAACATATTGAAAGAAAAAAAAAAAAGGAGGGGGAGGAAACTGTTGGGGTAGCTCTACACTTGGCTTGAGCATCTTTCACTAAATGACACAGGGCAATTTTAGCCTGTCTATTGGGTCGGACCTTTCTTTTCCCGAGAGAATAGTAAAAAAAAAAACAACCCTAAATTTTTTGGGTACTCTATCTGTCTCTCTCTTTTCCCTCCTCCTCATTCTAGAGAAAACATGGCATCTACCTCTTCCGTAGCAACACAATCCCTCTTTCGTCGATTCTGGGACTCACCTGCTGGACCAAAGACTGTTCATTTCTGGGCTCCTGCTATGAAATGGGTATGACATTAAGCCCTATATTTCATTCTCTTTACTCATCGCGCGCGTGTGTGTGTGTACCTTTTTTAGGCTTTAGTCTTTGCTGGTATTGGTGACTTGCAACGTCCAGCAGAAAAACTGAGTGTTACTCAAAATGTTTGTAAGATAGTCAACAGATATCACTAATGTATGATAACTAATACAAATAATCTAGCCTTGATGTTGACTGGTCTCATTTGGTCACGTTATTCAATGGTTATCATCCCCAAAAATTATTCATTATTTGCTGTCAACTTATTCGTATTTGGTACAGGAGCAATGCAAGTGGGTCGTATCCTCAAGTAAGTGCTGAGAATCATTAATGATTTGCTTTAATTGACTTTATATCTAGTTATCGTATGTCTGATGAATATAAGCAAAAGCAAGCCATGTTAGAACAGAAGAATGCATAATTCGTATTTATTAAAAATAAAGAGGAATACTTTCCGTATATACATGTTCTTAGTTTCCCTTTTAGATAGAAAGAGAAAAAAAAAAAAAGAGAAAGAGAAAGTGGCTAACAGTGTGTAAGAGTATTTCACATGTCATAGGCGGTTACTTAAATATATTTCCTTTGTCAGCGTCTTCTTTTTCCCTCTTTTTTTATTTATTCTTCTTTATGACTTTAGAACAGTTTTCTATAGAAACAGCTGACGATGGCACTCGACGTTCGATACTTTCTCCAAGTGCCCTGATGAAAACACCTGCAGAAGGTGTAGAGACTTTGTATGATGTACTTCAATATGCTGCAAGATCCTTCAAGGATCGTCACGGTTTTGGTTACCGTAAACTGAAAGACACGATTGTGGAGAAAAAGCAGGTGACGACAGTAATAGATGGCAAAGAACAGACAGTTGAAAAGAGCTGGACCTACTTTCAATTGAGTGGTTATTACCATTACTCTTACCAAGAGGCTGCTGACATCACTCAGCTTATTGGCGCCGGTTTACGAAAACTTGGCTTAAATAAAGGTGATAAGGTGCAAATCTCGGCCTCAACAAGGTAATGCCAACAAAAAAACACGTTTATTTCTTGATACTGAATTTGTTACTAGTTTTGAATGGATGTTTATAGCACATGGTAACCTGTTTTTCTGTTGTTTGATAAAGCAACCTTAACATAAACTACATAGGCGCATTCAGTCAAGCTATGACGATCGTTACTGCCTATGACACGTTAGGTCCTGAAGGGCTTCAACATTCCATATCTGAATCTGAAGCCTCTGTTTGCTTTATAAATAGCGAACAACTGCCTACTCTAAACAAGATTCTATCAGCTTGCCCTACAATCAAATCTATCATTTACAGAGGCAAAGCTAATGAAGACCTAATCAATCAACTTAAACACCACTCACAAATAAATCACGTCATCTCTTATGAAGAGCTAGTTCAACTAGGTCAAGGTAATCCTGTTGATGTCGTCAAACCTGAATCTCATGAACTATGCTGTATCATGTACACGAGTGGAAGTACGGGTAATCCAAAAGGTGTGATGTTGACTCATGGAAATGTAGTCGCTGCTAGTAAGTTTTTATCTTGATTAACGTACAACAGCCTTAACCCTACTGTCATCAGTTGCTGGCGTTTGTCGAATGTTGCAGCATCTGTTGGAAGCCAATGATACCATGATGGCTTATCTTCCTCTAGCTCATGTATTGGAGTTCCTTGTCGAAAATCTCTGCATCTTTTTAGGCGTGACACTTGGTTATGGTTCTATTCGTACACTCACCGATGTATCTGTCAGAAACTGTAAAGGTGATCTTCAAGAGTTTGGACCTACAATCATGACGGGCGTTCCTCAGGTATTTGAAACTATTCGAAAGACGGTGCTGTCAAAAGTGGCCGAAAGAGGTCCTCGTGTACAAAGCATTTTTATGAAGGCAGTCGGATTGAAAAAATACCTGCGCGATCATAAATTTAGTACTGCCTTCTTGGATAAGACTATTTTCAAAGCAGTCAAGAAGCAACTGGGTGGACGGCTTCGATACTGCCTCTCGGGCGGTGCTCCTCTTTCAGCGGAAACACAGGAATTTCTATCCCTCAGCGTGTGTCCCATCTTGGCTGGTTATGGTATGACCGAAAGGTAAGAGAACAAAAAAAAAGTACAATGAATGTCTCTTGACTGAACCTATTCTATAGTTGCGGGTATAGTCTTTGCTTTATTATAAAGTATTTCCCTTTCTTTACTAATATTATCATATAGCATGTGTGCTATTATGGCACCAGAACAATGGGAATTGAAAGAAGTGGGTACACCTGTTCCTTGCGTAGAAGTTAAATTAGTGGATCAACCCGAGCTTGGCTATCTGTCAACGAATACACCCAGACCACAAGGAGAAATCTGGATCCGTGGTCCTTCGATCACTGCAGGATATTATAAACAACCTGATCTGACGAAAGAGACACTAACTGAGGATGGGTGGCTAAAGACAGGCGATATTGGTGAATGGACAGAAAGAGGAACACTGAGTATTATCGATCGCGTGAAGAATTTGGTGAAAACGAGCAATGGTGAATACATTGCTCTTGAAAAGCTCGAGAGTATCTACAAATCATCGCCTTTAGTTGAAAACTTTTGTGTCTATGCTGACCCTCTATACCCTCGTCCTGTTGGATTAATAGTACCCATTGCTAAAACCTTGGAAGCATCTTTGGCAGAAAAAGGTATAAAGAACAGTGATTGGGATGCACTTTGCTCTAGTCAAGAAGCGCGTCAACATGTACTGCGAGTTATGCAGGAGCAGGCCAAAGCAGGCGGTCTTAAAGGAACAGAGATTGTTAGCGATGTTTGGATATGTAAAGACTTGTGGACAAGTGAAATGGGTTTATTGACTGCAGCACAGAAATTAAAGCGCCAAGAAATTAACAAAATGTATCAAAAGGAGCTTAAGGATATGTAAGTACTCAAGATATAACAACAAGATCTTTTGATATTTAACCCCTTCTAATTTTAGGTTATCTGCTCAAAAGTAATCAAGTTTTAATAAAAAAAGAGGTGTTTGTTTTCAAATCATTACTATTTACTATATATCTTCTTTTACAGCCGTGGAATAGATAGAATCTATCTATTGGTGTTCCTTTCTGATGACTCACTAGTGTCGAACAGACACCAAGCGGAGTTACTGCTATTGTCTCTTTTACTTGCCCTTTGTGACGCTTTCTAAGCTATTTCCCTTTTTTTCTCTTATTAGGCAAAAAAATAGAGATGGATCTTGAAATTAAGCCAGCGACGATTGATGATGTCCCTTTGATTTTACACTTTATTAAATCCTTGGCAGCTTATGAAAAATTATCTCATGAAGTAACAGCAACAGAGGATATATTACGAGAAACACTCTTTGGTGAGCGTCGATATGCTGAAGTCGTTTTTGCATATGCTCGAAAGACAAAGGATTCCCCCCTTGAGCCTGCTGGAATGGCTCTCTTTTTCCATAACTTCTCAACCTTCACTGGAAGACCAGGGATTTATCTCGAAGACTTGTTTGTTCATACAGAATTTAGAGGTTCTGGTATCGGCAAGAGTCTCTTGATATACCTCGCTGCTCTTGCAAAGGAGAGAAACAGTCCTCGATTTGAATGGGTGTGCCTTGACTGGAACGAATCTTCTTTGAAATTCTATAACTCATTAGGCGCTAAACAGCTCAAAGAATGGATCATTCATCGTGTGGAAGGAAAGAACCTTGACAGTCTTGCTGCCTTGTAAAATATAGTGTATTACTAATTAAATTAAAATAAATGATCAAATAACTGTGTGTACACAGTATACTACATCATCCCCTCCGTAACATTGATTGAGATCCACAAGCATAAGCTAAAAAGTCATTATAGGTCGAGAAGGAGACAGGGAAGATTATTGACTCGGAACTTGTACTATTTCAGTAATATGCAAAGGAGCTAAAGGTGTATCGATTGATCATGAGTATGCGTGCTTTGTCCCTAAACTGTGTTTAGGGAGAAAGGATAAATTAAATTATAAATCTGTGGACTACGCATACAGATATAGTCTGGTGACATTCCTTGCTCAAAAGTCCAAAAATCTCCAGCTCTTTCTTATAGATAATCCCTTACATCTGAACAACTACCCCTAAACCGGTTTTCCTTTTTCTTTCTATCGACAGAAGCTAAAAAGCCTTCATATTAGGAAGTATATTGACACAGTCAGATTAGAAAGTTTAGGTTCATTAAGCCCCGCCTTTTCGGAATTCTATCCCATACGGATTACACATACTTACTTAATTAAACAAGCTTTGCATATTTAAAGGATACACAACATTGGATTAAAGGAGTAAAGTAAAAGAAGAGTGAGTTTACCAGATCATGTGCTTACACTTTTGTATGTGCTTTTTATTTAGTTATTTATCTCGAAAAGGTGAGGCTAACAAACGAGTTTTTGAAATGTTAAGCTCACAAGTATGATTGGATTAAGGAGATCTCTATAGAGCTTTTCTACCGGTTATCAAATTTGTTCTTAGAACAAAATCCCTCCTCATTTAGTTTTAATCCACATACTTGCTTCCTGCTCTGTCAGTGTACTCAAGTTTAAAAGTATCAAAGAAACTGTTCTTGAATGTTATGACCCTAATTAAGCTTACTTTAACAAGGAGCATGTTTCATCTCTTAGTCAAATACTCTCTGTACACCTTCCAGAATTGCCTTCTCAATTACTGGTATCGATCTTCAAGTCTTGTCAAACTTACAGAGTGCTCTTTGATCGAATCTTAACAGCTACGCATGAATGGTTTATTTTTAACATTATAATTGAGCAGTAAAAATGTAATAGTAAATTGAATATGACGTGATTCAAACGGCACTGTAAATCATTGATTTATTCTTCTTTCTTGAAGTTGATAGTAGGTTTGAACAAATGGATGTACGTATGATATATGGAGGATGATGACATATCTTCGTTTGTCGCAAGACTAGCAATCATAATATTCTACAAAGCGATATTCAAATTATATCTCATCGTCAATATTTTATGAATTTGCCTTGAAACTTATCGAATTTTCTACCGTCTCTTCCATGCTAGCATAGGCTTCGAGCAACGTTGATAACTTCAATGACCAAAGCTTGTAAAGCTGGTAAGAGGGGCTGTGGTATCTCCAAACACCATGATGTACAGCTCAATCTCAGAGTCGTGAAAAAATATCCCACAGGTCTTGAACTCCTTCTGATGTTTGCTATTCATTATTCTTGCGTGTAATTACTGTTTCAAAGTCTCTGCTATTCTTGGTCTATCATTTTCAGGTAATGTGTTACACGTGCCACCAATGCGTTTCACTTCCCCACAGCCTACTTCTTCATTATTGAAATATATGACAAAGTCAAGTCGCGTTTTTTGCCTTGAAGTGATGTGAATCTTAAAAGATAATTTCTCCCTTTTATTATAGTCAGCATTTTATTTCACTGTGCTTTGAAAGATTGATACTCACCATTTATAATTGATTGGAGTTCTGGGAGGGAACATAAATTGCAAGAGAGAAGAAATGTTTTCCACAATACAACTAAGCTCATTTTTGTTCTCGCTATCGTTTATATGTTTCTCTGTCATGATTGTATCATAGGCATAAGAGAGTAGATTATTTAGATTCTGCTGTTCAACAGTGGTGGAATGAGAGGGGAAATATTGTTTATCATCCAATGTGCACTAACCGATTAGAAAGAACCATTAATAAAAACGGCAAACACTTGGTGCACTCAAAAATGCACTCAAAAATAAACCAATACTAAGGGCGCTACCTTTATCCATTACCTATGATGTTACCCAACAAAGCTTTTCAATGTGTAGCGTCAAGCTAAACATGAGTTTATAAAGTCGTCATCTTGAATTGTCTCTTTTCAAGAAGAAGAAAGAGATAAAAAAGAAACGTTGTTATTGTTTTATTCTAGTTTTATGTTACCAGTTTGATTAACAAAGACGCAAAAACATGTGTAATTATGATGCATTCACGTTTTTTATTAGAGAGAGTGAACTGGACAGCCTGAGGTTATGCAGAGACTTTAGTAGTGTAAAGTTGTATAGTGATTCTACGTGTAGCGCCCCAAGGAAGCGCCCGTAATATTAGTCTATTTTTGAGTGCATTTTTGAATGCACTAAGTGTTTGCCTACAATAATCATATTCAATATTATACAATTTATCGTTTGAACTCATAAGAAAAAAGCAATCTGTTCTCTGGAGTAAACAACAAAGTCTATCAGGCCTTTTGATAATAAATCAATAGGTAAAGATGAAATCTACGTCAGTAGTGAGCGTTAAAGGCCACTTTAACTTATGACTGGTATACATGTTATTCAAGTGTTTTATTACTGAGCGTATTTATTAATTGACATCGAAGATAATCCTCTTAATCGACTTAAAGCCAATGACGGTGTAAACGATGACCCCGTTGCTTGTGTTGTATTTGCAATCCTATTGATAGCCTCTTCATCTTTCTCAACAACAGATTGACCTGTGGCTATAATCTCTTCCTGTAAAATAGATTCAGCCGTAGTAGATGGCTCGCTTGCGTTTGATTTTATCAGCCTTTCAATGGATGGACTTGTCTTTTTTAGTGCATTTAGATAAAGTTCCCCCAATAATGGCCATCGTTCAAGATTGGCGATTCTGTCTTCTGTATCCAGATATTTTTCAATGCTGGACAATGACCTAAAGATAGTGCTTATCTGCTGATTAATGCGATTAGCTTGTTGCTTTATTGCTTTCACTAGACGACATTGTCAGGGGCCGAAGAGTCAGTTTTGGTTGTTCTAACCCATGATTACCTTCCGGGATTTTTTCACGTATTAACTTTGACTGATTTAAAGCAAGTGTAGAAGACTGAGCCATAGAAGAACTGAGGTCATCAACATGTTTGATACGTTGTAATAGTAATCTCTATAGTTAAATTATAAGTCGATCATCTCTCGTTTGGCAGGGGAGTCATTCATTTTACTTGATCTGAATTAACTCGTGACATCTGAGACGCAATATGATCTTGTATATCAAATAATGTATCGGCCAAGTTATCTGCAGAATCTATAAAAATGAAATTAAGATACGGCTGTGTATACTTTAAAGAAGCTCGTACATTTTCCAATATGCTTGTTTGTCAAGAGCTTTCCACTTGATTTAAGCGATATGACACTTTCGAGAGTAAAGCCTTTTTCTTGTACTTTTACCAGTGGCTCAACTTTGCCAATCTCTTTTAAACGCTTCAAGTCACTATCCTCTGCTTCTTCTAGGCGATGAACTACTTCTATAACACCATCCTGTCACTTTTTTTCGCATTAAACCATTTCAAGAGTAACTGCTTTCAATAAATACCTCTGTCTGTGTTTCAGTTAAGAGTAGATTGTTGTCACTAGCTGTTAAAATGGTCATTACACACACATTCTTATCTGACAGAAAAAAGTAACATTACAGTCTGTCTCCTCTCTATGGGATGCTTTGGTCAAACAAAACTCTTCCTTTGATGAAACTGATGTCTATCATTGAATTATTATCCATTTAACATGTATCTTTCATTTCACTTTTTACCATTAATATGCAATAATTTTATTTAAATGAATATAATACAAAGCGTTTTTCTTTTTTTTTTTTTTTTATTTACAAAAATGACAACACGCTCTATGAGGGTACTATTAATACACTTTTAAAAAAGTAGACTAATATGTGTTGCATCAGATTGCCATTGAAGGTTGCTGCCATGGTCAATTAGACAATATTTATGACACCATTAAACACGATGAACTGGCAACCGGAAAAAAAGTAGACCTTGTTCTAATCTGTGGTGATTTTCAAGTAAATCATATACACACGCTAAGAGAGAGAGACTGACATAACTGTACTAGGCTGTTCGCAACATGTCTGATCTGGCTTGTATGTCAGTGCCAGATAAATACAAAAAGATTGGCAACTTTTGGAAATACTATTCAGGCAAAGTAAAAGCACCCTATCCAACCATTTTCATAGGTGGAAACCATGAAGCCAGCAATTATTTATGGGAGTTGTACTATGGTGGATGGGTGTGTGATAATATCTACTATCTTGGAAACGCAGGCGTGATTAACTTTGGTGGGTTGAGGATAGCAGGATTGTCTGGAATATACAGCGAACACAGCTACTATCGTACTCACTATGAAGTCTCACCGTACAATTCTTCAGAGAAAAGATCGGTATATCACGTAAGGGATTATGACGTGAAGAAACTGTTGCAAATTCGTGAACCTGTAGACATATTCTTATCTCACGATTGGCCACGAGGAATTGAGCGTCATGGTGATGTACAGGATCTTATCAAGAGAAAGCCATTCTTTGAAAAGGAGGTTGGTGAATGACTCGAGCCTATTGTTATAATCTAACCGTTTGACATAGATCCTCTCAAGACGCCTTGGGAGCTTCCCAAATGAGCTCTTATTATCAAAGATACAGCCTGCTCGATGGTTTGCTGCCCACTTGCATGTTCGTTATGAAGCAGAGATTGATCATAACAATAAAGACAATTATACAGATAGCACGAAGCAACTCTTAGAAAAGCACAATATACCTGTAGCTAAAAACCTTGACGAAATCAAAATTGAGGATGATGATGATGATAATGATAATGGTAGTAACGATAGTGCCACTGAAAAAGGTAGATAGTATAGTTCCTAAAGAGCATTAGTATTAAATCTAGCTTAAAAGATTCAAAGCCACCTAAAACTACAAAGTTCTTAAGCTTGGATAAATGCCTGCCTCATCACCAGTATCTAGAGGTATATATATTGAGCAAATAAGAATAGGCCCAACTTATGCTCCCTTAGATCATTGATGTCCCTGTCTCTTGTGATGAAAACGATGAGCCTGACTTTTATTATGATCTAGAATGGTTATCTATTACAAGAGCCATGAACAAGTATCTGTCAGTTTCTCGTCAGCATATACCAATGCCTTCGGATGAAAAACTAAAAGAGGAGATTGCAAAAGAGCGAGAACAGCTGGAAAAGCAAAAACAACATAATGTTCTTGATCTGAAAATACCCCACAACTTTGAGCCTACTGCTCCTGCACATGGCACGGATACTGGAGGAAGAAATATGTTTATGCAGCTCCGTGAGTATTGATATTTAAATTAGCTACTAGATAAACTAATGCTCCCCCCTTTTCAAAAGAACGTCCATTTTTCAACCCGCAGACAGATTTGTTTTGTAAAGTAATCGGAATAGAAAACAAGATTAACGCTAATGGTCAACGTGTTAATGAAGTAAACAATACGGAAACGTCTATCAATGACTCAAGTCAAGATACTAAACGTCAAAAAGTAGCTGAAGAAACAATCCAATCTGAGATTACAATAGATGAATCTGAATTCCTTTAATTAGTTTCCCTCTTGAATAAAGAAACCAGTGTCTATTCATTGAATTAACATTTTTATTTGATATAAAGCTCAGTGATAAGTACACATATTAAATAACTGTATATGTTTAGAATTTTCGCGGCAATCGTTTAGAATTCATAACCTTCAACCTTGAATAACTCGGCATAGTCAAAATACCGAGTCATCAACTGTTGAACTGGACGAGGCAGGTTCATGGAGGTTAACATATTTTGCATTTTAGAAAGACCTTCTCTACGAATAAGGATATTAAGATTTCGTGCAATTTCACTTGGGTACTATATACAAAGGATTACTACTTTTTTTGTGGGTTTATAGACAAACTTACCACTATCTCATGGTACCATCTCTCGTGATATACTGTTAATTTAACAGCAGCCAAAAGAGCTCTTTGCACGTTTGATTCGGATACATAAATCTCGAGTAATTTCATCCATGCTTTAGCAGAGAATTTATGATCCAGACATTGTTCATATGCTTCTTTAGCATCGTTTTGATGCCAAAGACGAAGAGCAAGATCACCCAATAGTTCCCATTCTGTGCCAGTTTTACGGTAGGGCATCTGTTGGGCCCTATAGTGAGCTGCTTCAGTTTTCCAAAAGGTATATATGCGCAGATCTTCGTATAGAACCATAAATAGGTTATCTAACCAGCGTTCACAAAGGCGCTTGTTGCTGAATGTAAAGCTAACTCCATCACTTGGGTGAGGCGCATTTTGAATAGAAGCACTGCTGGGATCACCATTATTAGACTAGGTAAAACAGAAAACATTAGATATTACTCTTTCAGACGCTCTTGTTTCTTACATTGGGTTTGTCTTCAGCAACCTGCTTAGGACGTACAAGTGGTGTATGCTGCACTTGAATCGGCGCACTTGCTTTGTTTTCATCACCATTTAGATCAATAGTCTCCATCTTTCCTACGATTTCGCCTTCTTCCTTTTCATCTTTGTTTGCTTCACCATTAATCTGTTCTTCTGTATTCTCTGTTGCTTCCACCTTGGGCTGCTCTTCTGTATCTTCTGTTGCCTCAGTGGTATCTGCTGTATCCTGTACTTCATTTTCAGCATCTCCATTTATGGAAACACTTGACTTTTGTATATCTTCCTTTGCCTTTTGCATGCGATATTCTTCCTCCATCACAAACACTTGAGAACGGCACTTTAATAGATCATCCCATCCAATCTTGCTTGCTAAGCGCGTCAGAAGTGAATATGCCTTTGCAAACGTACCATGCAAAGCAGGTGCGGGCAGTCGAGATAGATTTGGATCTGCTTCATTTTCTCGTCCTGCAGCATCCTCTTCCATGATTCCAGAGTTTAGAATGTCGGTTTTAATTGGCAAGTGTGTTTTAATGGGTGCTGGCATTCTATGCATATCACGCTCACTATACGTGAACATTGGACATGAATTTAAAGTCAACAAAGCCTATTATCCGTCAGCTTTTGGTGTATAGCAGATAGTGTTTACTTACACTTTTGTAGTCTCCAATATCAATATACACTATTTAGATATGTATATTAGCATACTTTCAATAATATATTGAGTAAACTACCTTCTGTTAGCTTTGCCCAAGTAAGAAACTCAGAAGGGGTAGTGTTGACTGCAAATTTGGCAAGCTTCAAAGCCATTTCGTATTCTCCCTAAGGCACACAATGTACAGACTTAGTTTTTTTTCTAGTATTTTGAGCATGTTCACATACCTTGCTTCGAAGGAAATCAACTTGAACGTGCAACAAAGGATAACTCATAGGCATACGCTTTAACTCACTATTCAAAACGCGAACTGCCCTTATCTCTTCATTTTGTCCAATGTATGACTGTGCAAGTAATGCTCCAACCTCAGGGTCCTTTTTCCTTAATTTTTCATATAGTTCGATAGCTGGTCCATATCTAAAACTGTCACCAAAATATTTCATTACTCCTGAGGCTAAATGGTTGTGAACACTTGTAGCTGTTTGGATTTCCGGGTTACTGCCTAATTGCCATCCTCTCCAAAAGAGTGCATCAACAGCTTCCAAAAATCGGCTTTCTGATGCTAAATTAGTGATAGGATCCATTTTGCGATATCCAGCAAGCCTGTAGTAGCTATCATCTGAATATAAAATAGCACGAAGAACAGCAGATAGATAAGTTTCCTGCCAAATGGCCGTAGTTGCCTCATGTCTACATAGATGGTAAGGTTTCACAAATTATTAGCAATACTACCATAGAACTGACCTTTCTCCTCTAACGTCAACATAATAACTCTCTACACCTCCAGGGATCTTGACCTCGACTCGCACATCCACACGAGAAAAGGCGTTAAAGCAGCTAGAGTTTGAAACTATAAGTCGCCTTATTTTTTCCTCGTACATTCAAATCTTACCAGTAGATGCCAGAACGAATGCGCCAAGCGTTTGATTTCGAGAACCATGACTGGGTTTCGTCCTGTTTTGAAGTTGGTTAGTACTAGAAAATCTTGAATAATGGTTGTTCTTGGTTTGTTTTACCAGTGAGTAAGTTAACGAGTTTAAATAGGCTGCTAAAGTTGCAGATGACGATGCATCCACGCCTGAGACATAATGATAACTTCCTAACTAACGTTTGATTATAAAGTGATTTAGTTTTCATACAAGCGCAATATACAAGCAAGTACCTCTTTCATTCCTGGCTTCGAGTGAGATTTGATTATATGACATAAATCTGGAGGACCAAGCTCACGAAAAGTGCCTGAGATAAAAAATGGTACAAATGACGCGTGTTAGTTTGTTATGAATAATAAGGCATTATTATATATAGTATACCTAAAGCGTCTGTACGTGCAGCTATTGATTCTCCGAGTTCGTTTTCAAAGAACTCAGGAACGTCTTTGAGAGTATCTGCCATAGTTTTATTAAAGAAGCAAAAATGAGTTCCAGACAAATAAAGTGCCCTTTTCTTTTTGATTTAACTCCGCTTTTAGATTTGCTTGGAGACCGCATTAGCCAATGAATTGTCTACAGTCTTGACAGATGATTGTACAACTTTGTTTCTATTTTTGAGAGGCCAACACTACATGCACCAGAAAATGGACTAATGCTACAGGCGCTTCTTCTAGAGACTAAATATAAGACTATCTAATAGGATATCCTTTGACATAATATAATTCACTTAATTACGCGTTATTGATCTTGGCTCTTTGCTGATCGAACTAACAACATAAAATTAAAAAAATCTTTATCTCTTTCTTTCTTGAAAAGAAACAAATCAAGACGGAGACTATATAAAGTCATGTTTAGCTTGACGCTATACATTGGTAAGTTTTATTGGACGATATCATAGGTAGTGGCTAAAGGTAGCGCTCGTAACAATAGCTCATCCTTCAGCTAGTTATATCGATCCGTTCATGCGGGGGCATTTTTCTTCGAAGCAGCCCTCAAAAGTCACCCATTGGTATGTCTGAACCGTTGGTATATTGTCGCACATGATTAAAGCCCTCTAAGTTCCAACTTTACTGGTTTATTAAAAATAAATTTCAGAAAGAGGATAAAATTATGACGTGTATGAAAAAAATGATTGATGCACATTAAAAAAAGTATTTACGCAAAGGTTAAAAATAAAATGCATGCAAAAGAGACGATATACAAGTGAGAGTAATAAGTATCAAGGAGAGAATATAAAGAATTATACAGTTAGTTATGTAAGAAAATTATTATATATAACTTACCCCGAAGGCATCTAGATGTGTCCTAGCGATAACTAGGACAGATAATTATCGTCTAAGCGTATTCTCGTTCTTGATTGCTCCTGATCGTTCACTCTTCTTCGATGTCTTGTAGGAGCAACAGCAACCCGGCGAAATCTATGAGGGACCATGCCATTACGTAGAAGCCCACGAAGAATGTGCAAATAGTTGAGACAAGCAGCAACATCCCTGTTCCATAAGCGATATCTATCTGGAGCTGCCATGGCGGGCCTACAGTATAGATTGGTGCATTTACAAGCAATGTTCAATCAGAATAAAGTCATCCAAGTGGTTAATGTATTATTACCTTAAAAAGTCATGGCAGACAACAGTAGGATATCGCTCACATTGATACGGCCGTGGATTTGGAATATGACGGAACGTGCGGAGGCTTTCGTTGCGGCATGTTGAACAGCACCTACTGGACTTGTACTCGTCTATAAGAAAGACTTGGAACTCATGCTTCTTGAGGAGTCTTCGGAAACCAAGGCCAAGGATGGGCTCATGATACCTAGCATGGGGAGCGAACTAGTTTCCCATCACAAACACGGCGTCTTCTCCAAACTTGGTACGTAAGTCTTAAATAAGTTTTTGAGCGGCACGTTGTTTGTTGAAGTACGCTGAAAGACGGGCCTTGCGAAAGAGAGAGTATCCATTATCATGATTTGTGGTGGTATGTCCATAGAATCAACTGAGAACGGCAGACTGTTCAGATCTGGCTTGAAGGAAGCGGCCAAAGTCTTCTACGGATACGGTGCTGCTTGGCTGTTGAGAAAGGGCTTGCTCAGCTTGAACGACATCAGGATCCTAGGCTTTGAGACCTTGCAAGATTCGACGGTACTTTTTGGTTTTCCACATCACGTCTTGCTGTTGTTTAGTGTACCGAAATTGCACTGGTTGCTCTGGTGTAGAATTTTCGTGTACAAAATACAACATATCTCTTCTTCCTGGATCCACAGCGACGCATCGACCAGAAATCTCTTGGTGATTTCGACCAGTTAGATTGGTGATGTAGGAGGTAGCTTCATACTCTACCGTGAACCTTGCCGTGTATCTTGTTTGCCTGTCGAGCCTCTTCTTGAAAACCGTGACACCAGCGCCGTCAGTTTGAATAGTGCTACGGAATCTAAGTTGTCCACCTTCTCGCGGCTTGAGGGCTTTTGAATCAAGGTTGACAACTCGACGCCAATAGTTCAGTTTATCAACAGCATTAGACCATTGAATTTCCAGGATGTTTTGGCAGAGAAGTTACATTCAGTTCTTACAAAATTGTAGATAGTGCTTTTAGAGAACTTGAGATCCTGAAACTTTTGAAGTAATCGCTTCATTACTTGCTCCAAGACGGCTGAAGGATTCTCATCTATGCACTCCAAGATCACTTGCTTGTGTTCTTCTTAAAGTATACGCGAGCAACCGATTTTCTTGTGCTTTATAAAAATACTATCAGGACCCGTTTTGTATATTTGAGCCTATCTTTGAGTTGTGCGAAAATGAATACCTAATTGTTTCGCAGCAGCTAAAGTACTCATAACTTTCTCAAACATCAGTTTAAATAATCTAACTTTGTCTTGATCCTTATAGAGTGTGTACATTCGCTTACTCGACGCCTCCTTCATGCAAACATCTACGTCATCTTTTGCATCTTCATCTGCCATAGAGCCTACATCGGAGTTATTCTCCTGAGGCTGATTATGCAAATACTGCATGTGTGAACTAACTGTTTCTAGAGCATATTGCTCTTCATCAATGATGTAGTCCATAGGCTCAGATCTACCGTATTCATCAACTGCATTACTGTGCCTGTCTTCATAGAAAATTGAAAGCTCATTTTGTAATGCTTGGATTTTAATGAGAAAGAGAGTAAAAAGAGATCTGACAGTGCTTTAATGCTTAGTATACTCATATTTTGTACGATAAGGCTTCTACATATTCGACATTTAGTTTGTCAGCAAGCGAAGTCAACCAATGGTTAACGTGACATTAGAATTTGACAAGCGCGAATTTTACTCTTGGCATCAGTGTCAATAATCTTTGGAAATACTGTATAGCAGAGGGGCCTATGCCCCTAGCTCAGTGGGCAAAAATCTATGATTTGAAGCCAAAGTCCTGCGTTCGAATCCCATAAAACCGCTCCCAGTAGCTTGCTATTGAGGGTTTTAATGCCGCTTTCTATGGTTCTCGGCTGTTAGTCGTTGGAAGTAAACAAATTATGAATAATTGCGGTACCCGCCCAGGTTGAAATAAGCATGAACCCTAACACCAAGTCTTAGCCTACCAATTATAGTGATTAGTTTATCTCCCTCTGCCCACCCCATTTGATTGCATGCTTTCCCCCTCCACCACCAGTACCTTCTCACCCCACCACATTATACACCCCACCTTGTTGAACTTGCCCGGGCAATTTCAGTATAAAAAATACTAGCCGCTTCCAACTCGCTACGCTCGTTTTTGCACGTCGTCGTGCTGCCGCAGGCTTAAGGGCTTCGCCCTTTGTGATGAGTAAGGGCAAATGCTGAATGAGTTGTGGAAAGGTTAATGCATTTAGAGAGAAAGTAATGGTTGCATAATTTTATTGAATGAGAGTCACATAGTTACAAAAAAAAAA